ATGAACAACTCAATGTTGACTTTGCAGGTCCAAGGTGTCATCTGTTGAACGGATTCAGAAAGATAGGATCAAAGATGGTCATGATATTTCTGAGTCTTGTTCGTCGTTGCTGTCCGCCCCCTATCATGGCAGTCATAGTTACGTGTCTGAGGTCGACCTTGGAGCCCGAATTATTATTTTATCCCAAAGTAATTGGCGGAGATTTAACCAGCGGTAACGGGTATTCGTCAGAGAATCGTTGGCCTGGATGTTCAAAAAAGATCAGGCGGTATCTTCTGCATGAGTCGGCATGACGCCGGCAAAGGACTCGACTTCGTCATGACACAGAAGATACAGCTGCCGAGCTCAGCTGAGGAATCCACGACATTTGCACCAGAAATACACCGACATGCCGACGCGACCTACGACTAAAAGTTGCGAAACATCAGTCACAAAGGATCCTTCGAGCCACTGATCCTTTGAAGCACCAAACTGTATTCGCCAATACTCTCGACTGGGAACCCTGGTTCTTCATTCCTTCTTCTGGTTTAGAATTAAACTTACAGGAACGTCAGATCCAGTAGGATTTACTCGCCTGATGGCTTATCTTACACAGCTTCGGGTTGAAGGCGTCCGTGACTACTGTTCCGGGAGAATCAAGAGACTAGCCTGGTTGAATACTCTGCCCTTCCTGGGATTGAGGCCTGAGAACTGAATCTCAAGGGCTCTGTACCACGCCGGCAGGCAACCGCTTTTTGAACGTAGTCTCTGCCTTCCTCCCCGCTCCAGAGCGCTTCTCGGCCGAGTGATTCTGCCTTTCAGGCTACATTTAAGAAGAATACGCCAGATTGTTCGTTGAATCCAAGGTGGGGATGGTCATGCTTGCCACCGTCGCGTCCACCGTAGCCACGGTAAGCATTGCTATTCTTCGCGCCTCCTGCAACACTCACCGAGAACAGGCCACTCCTATCACTGGCAGCCAGCGCAACATCGGTAGCATCCAATGCTGCAGCCAGACTGGACCCCGTACGTACTTGTCAAGCTGCATAGGGAAAAACCTCGTCAATGTACACAGGCGAACGCGCTCCCCTTCGCTAGCATCCTGATCGGGCTTCTTGACATCGCTCTCCCAAGCTTGAATGATCTTGCGTAAGTTCCATCTGTGGTTCAAATGCTCTACTACAGGCAAACTGATGATTTCTTCTAGTGGTCTCGGCTGCAGCCCCGGCCGGCAGCAAAATGGTACGAAAGTTTGGTTAAAAAGGATGACATTGGAGACATTTCAGAGGCATTGATCACAATGTCGGCCAGTAAAATGCATCATGTTTTGAAGTAAAGCGGGTTGTCGATTACTGGGAATGCTATGAAGCAGGGCGGTGAGTTAATCGAGCCGGCAGCACGATGGCCGTTCCCCAGTTACATAATAGCCGATCCTCTTGTCTTTCGCCATGTCTACATTTCCACCAGAGCTTGTTGAGATAGTCGTATATGAAGCCTGGCACTCTGATATGCCATCCTCGATCCGAACTAGGTTCATGACTACTTGCCCCCTTGTAAACCGAACGTGGAAAGCGGTCTATGCCCCCATTGCTTCTCAAGATATCTATATCACCAACCTTGCATACATATACTACCTATGCAAGATAGCCCGGCTCCGAACATCTATCATCTACCATGACTTCATCCCCCGGCTTTCCCGTACCATTACCTGCTTCGTCCACCTCGGAGACAGAACAAAGGAAGCAGCGGTGAAAAGAGTGTATGACTGTCTCATCAACCTACCCAATGACGTTGGCTTTAAAAATCTCTTTCCACTCGTTCCGTACATTTCTTTCGAGCTCGGTTGGATCAGTTATGGGCAGAAATTGCAGTCCTGTGGTATTCCCATTTACATCCGAGTCTATTTCCACCGGTACCTGTCTATCAACAAAGATGCATGCTACGAGGTCGAGAGACGAGTGGACTTTGGTATTTCCATGACAGACTCGGACCCTTTGCGGCGTGTCGACCCCTTGACCCGGACGGATATAGAGAAATTGAGGAAAATCTATGTCATTGGGGGCGTGCCATGGTTCCTGTTTACAGTGACATTGAAGGCTGATCGTTGGATGACACTTGATGGCATCCGCGCCTTCCGTCGAACGATAGAGATATACCCGCATCGAGGGGATATTAAAGATATTAATTGGCGCTTGTGGATGGCTTCAAAAGGGCGACGTAGTACGTGGGTAGAGCCTCTGCTTTCTGCGTGGATCTAACGTCTATCTAGGATTAGGGTATCTTAACACACTCTTCCATTGGTTGGAATACAAACAGGTGCAATGGTCTTTACCCGTAGAATATAAGATATAGTCGTCGTGGCACGACTTGATCTCCCTTGCTAGGTTCCCACTGTTAAAGAAACATTTCACCTGTTACAAAATTGAATTACATACAGATGCTAGTTGCATTGACTGTTACATGAGTAACAACAAGTATTTTACAAGTAACGAGTTGCGACGACAACTTTGGGGGTCAGAGTAATGACAAAAAAGACATCACTTGTGGGCTTGACTGGGAATCGAACCCAGGACCTCCTCGAAAAGAACTCAGGTCGTTCCGACTCGTCCTGTCGGTTGAAGATCTCGCGGCAACTCGCGGCTTACCTTGATGGACTGGGATGACGAGGACGCTCTGCTAGCCACTTCGTCCAAGGGCGATGCTCTCGACTTTCTCAATCTCGATGCGCCAGCTCCGACAGAAACAGAAACGCCCCTCTCCGAGCTCATCCGGCACTGGATGAATGAACGACACGCGCCGACCATCCTTGCAGCACAGGAACAGCTCCTTGGCTTGTTGCTCGACCATATTCGGCGGCAGGTGCCCTCACTCTCGCCTTCATTTGTTCGCTTTATCTAAGTGCTCTCCAGACAGACGCGGTGCAAGCCCTTCGTGGTCATCCCTCCACCTCGGAAGAAGAGCACATTCGGATTATGCTAGTCCAGACAGAGGTGGAACGCGTCAAGTTCATCGTGCGCTCATATATCCGGACGCGGCTCTACAAGGTGCAGCAACTTTGCAGGACAACTGACAGAGACTGAACACGAAGTAGATTGAGAAATACGCGCGGTTTATCACCACTGACGCAGAGATCCAGACGCGGCTGACAACGGCAGAAAAGGCGTATGCAAGCAGGTGAGTTTTTTTTTTGCTTTTGGTTGGGGTGTAGATGGTATTATTGATGTTAGCCAAGCACAACATACGGATCGGCATCTGCACTATTCCGTTTTACAAAGTCTGCCACCAGCCCAGGCTCACCTCGACGACCAGCCCATCTTTGTCCCTCCCATGGGTGCGTCATTTGGCTTACTATCCGGCTCTTCTTAGTCTCTCTGCAGTGACACAGCCCAACAAATCTCGTGCCGTGTTCGCCTATGCACTCAAAGAATGCCCGCCTGTCCGATTGCCGGAGTACGTCCTATCTATCCCTTGCCCAACTCTTTCTAAGTCCTTTGCAGTGGCACGACCCTCACCCTGGAGAAAGATCAGCTTACGCTCGTCCCGTTCTACGTCGTAGAGCACCTAGTAGAGCGAGGAACTGCAGAACTGGTCTGAAAGTAGAATATACGTGTACTGTACCATATCACATTAATGCTAGCGTCTAGGCATGAACGGCTTGTCGTCTCCATCCCAGTCATCGTCATTCCCATGGCCATTCATCGTTTGTTCTTCCTCTTCGTCTTGCTCTTCCTGTTCCTGCTCTGGCTCTGGTTCCATCACAACGTCCTTCACCTCCTCTTGCTCCTTCACTACGACCTGTTCCTCCTCGCCCTTCTTCTTTCTCCTCCTCTTCGTCGGTGCCCCCTCAGGCCCCCTATCCTTCGCTGTGGCACCCTCCTTCTTCGCCTTCCCTCTCTTCCTCTTCCCACCCTCAGTCGGTCCTACATCCATATCAATCGTCCCACCCGCCGAAGGGTCCGGCACGCCCTCCACGATCTCCTTCAAAAAGTCCAACATCTCTGTTGTCTCCACAGCATGTTTCCTACAAGGGTGTCAATATGGTTGGTTGAGGCATACGAATTATGACACGCACAGATGATACGCCTCCACCTTTTTCGACCCCCGTTCTGACGTGACCTTGTGCGCTTCTTCAATGATGAGCCCGAGGAACATCTCCAGGGCTTTCGCTAGCGAAAGAATCAGAGATTATCCGGCGTTTCGAGCCTAGGAGGCGTACATATCACGATGGGTGTGGCTTGCGCTACCTTGCCCACTTCTTCGTCTTTCTGCATTATCTTCTTTATCCGGGCCTAGTGGAGTCAGTCAGTAAGATATTATCATACAAGGCCCGCACGCACGACAGGAAATTTCGTTTGTCGGTTCTTATTCTTCATCGTCGATGACAGTAGGAGTTGTTCAATTCAAAGGGCAAACTCCGATGAGTGAAACAATATCACGTCCACTGGAGATTGCATAAATATGTATTTATTTGAGAAAAGAAATGCGGCCTGGTGGTCTAGTAGTATGATTCCTTGTTAGGGTTATTCGTAAATCTTCGATTGTCGAGGAGGTCCTGGGTTCAATTCCCAGCCAGGCCCATATATGCCGGTGGAGAGTGTTATTTTTGTATTGAAGCTCAAGAGTCAAGCTTCGATGACCACTGACCACAGTACTGACTTTAATCCCTGCAGTGAGCACTGGGCAGTGATTAGAACTAAGAGCTAAGAGTTTAAGAGCATGCGCATAGCAAAGGCCACTTTCTTTCACCTTTTGATGAGTCACTTGGATTCTAGGTCCCATGGACTTGAAGCCCCAGTTGCAGTGTGGCCTTTAGTGTTCATTGGGCTCTCGCCAATGGTTCAAGTACTTAGTATATCAAATAAGAGGAACTTTTTGAGCCATTTTGTTTTTGAAAAATATTGTTTCGTCTGTTAGGTCTTTCAATCCATTGTTCCAAAGTATCGCAATCGGAAATTAACGTAAAAGTCGAAAGCCTTATAGTCATTCGTTCATGTAACTAAGTCGCTACGCTGCTGAGGTTTTGCGCTAGTTCTGAGCGCATGAGCCCTCGCCCCTTCATCCTCCCTTGTCCCTGGATGAACACCTCGGATTCTCGGGGTTAATGCAGATGGTAGGCTACCTGTTCTTCCAGTTGCTGGTGCCAAGTAGAGGGGCTTTCATCTTCGCATCCATGATGGCAAGCGAGAGGGATCTACGAGCTCTGTTATGGGATGAATCGGGGCGCGGTAGATTCATATAGGGTCAACGTTAAAACTTGAGAATATATATCAAGGATGGTCGATCATCGACAAGTGTGCAGACTGTATATTCTAAATTGATGCATTTGCTCATAACTAGCTAATAGCGAGAAGACGTGTCACGTCCGAGCAATGGGAATGATCCAGTTCACGCGTACATCGACAGAGACATCGGACAAGTCAAAAGAGTTAGCAAGTGATGGCGGTTAGGATGAGTATCCGAAACCTAGGGATGTTAACAACATGACAAGGAGAATGGTCAGAAGCACTGCGTCGGTTTCGCTCATTATTTAAATAGGATGAGGTCGGAGGATACACGTCATAAAGTGATTGTGGCGCGTCTCTGGTAACTTGAACTTTATAATAAAGGAACGCAACGCACAGATTGAAAAAAGGCACTACCATGAAAGAAAGATGGCATTAGACAACGGAAATTTTCTTGAGGCACATGAAATTAGATGATCCTCATGAATTTCCTTGTCGAGCATTAGTGATGATATTACATTTATAGTACAGTCCGAATAAATCACGAGTCGCTTGAAGGGTATCTCTATACAGGTGATAGCTTTCGTTCCCTGCGCAGCCAATTCTTAGCTTCCTTCTGCGTGTTCCGGACAACAGAACACTTACCCATTCGCGTTACCTAGAAGCTCCTCGAATCGCCGTCTGAAATTCTCCAGCTGCGAATCAAACTGGTGTCCAGTATCGTGTCCGTGGTCCATTTGGAAAGCTTGGCACTCTCGGATGAACTGCTCGAGATCTTTCACACGCGTTATGGATAATTCTGGCTCGTTGGAACCGCGAGCTCGGGCGAGGTACGATGCTACCAGGGTTGCGATACCTCCTGGAAGATGGGTGAGCGTGAGGGATGGAATGGAATTTTTTCGATCTCACCGAGGATAGATATAGCGATTGAGGTCTAATAAGGTATCGCATAAGGCCAAGCCCGAAGAATTCATAGGAAGAGCTCAAACCTGACCTGTTTACCGGACGTCGCAGCCGATAGCCCTGTCGTAAGCGCACCCAACAGGACCTGCAGACCTGAATGACTTCAGCATGACTACTTACGTCTGACAACAGAACAGCACGCCACCTATTGCAATATTGAGCGCGTAACCGGTCATCCTCGCTTTCAAAACATATTTGTCCCTCGACGTTTCTGCGGTAGTCAACGTGGGCTGTAGGCGCTCGCCTACTGTTTTAAGACGTGAAGCCTGTGGAGCGCGTATCAGCACACGCAATCTTCCACGAGGCAGAAAAACACACTTTCTCTGACCTATCGATAGGGATGATCCAGTCAATGTCTCCCCGTGAGGCACGGGTTCCTCTTCGCCCAGGTGAAAAAGAGTCTTGACGGAGTACATCTGGCACCGGAGGCAAAGGTTGGTTCCGTTGGCCTCCCCCGGTATGGAGGGGCGCGTACGACGTATCCGACCTGGGCGCGTCACCCTGGTCGGACAATGGTGAACTGTGTCTGATAGAAGTATATGTCGAGTTTCTCTCTGGACCGATTATTGGGACTGGGACTGCAATGGTGGGATCAGGACCAGGACTGAGAGCCAGGGAGGAGCCGCCTTGGGTATGCTGAGAACTTCTACCAACGCGGTCGGGAGCCTGAGAGAGATCCATAACTAACAGTGACAGGCCAACGGGTATTTAGAGTCTACACGCGTATTCCTGCAGTCGCTAAGCGAGAGAGTCGAAGTTTTCATCAGCTACATGCGTACGGCAGCATATATCTATAATTCGGAAGCAGTGATAAAGATTCGTTGTCTCCGCATGTTACGGATGGAATTGATTCAAAGGAGCGCGTAAATACTAAAGCAGTGAAGATAATGATCAGAAAAATTTCCCGACGAACCTTTTCGAGAATACGCTACGAGTCTCATCTTAATACTCAATCCAATCAATACTGAGGAATCAAAACCCTTAGGAACATGAGCGCCATCGAATGAATCAAGGGTGAAAACCTCTTGATTGGTAGAATGTTATATGGCCACATTGGCATATCTAGTATAGTATACATGCGCTTGGTCATCTTGTCGTCCGGAGATGAATAGATCTCCTGTGCGTCTACTAAATTGTTCTCTATATAATACAAACCATTCTGGCTGTCTAAAATTATTATTACTTTTGGAAGTCTGCGATCTACAGAAGGACGCTCATGAGGAGTGCCATACGAATCTAGATGGGAAGGTCAATAATCTCACCCTCCACTAGGCGAAAAATTACTCACGAAAAGACCATAGCGCATCTGTCTAAAGTAGACAGCACGCCGCGAGTCGAAGTCGACCTCAGGATCAATCTCTTTGGTCCGAGTCAGCAAACAGGTCTACACAGCAAATTCATAAAATGGCCTACCATTCATCCTTGGTAGTGGGTGCATGACGATCATATCTTCTTTGGCTCTTGACAGAACGGCATGATCGACGCGATAAGCATTTTTCACTTGGTTCCACTCAGCCTCAGTTTCGAACCTCTCCTTTTGAACGCGCGTCACGTATAACACATCAGTGTCATGCAAAACTTCCTCAAGGGACTCGCATATTGTAACAGGTATACCAGCCTTTCGAACAGCAGAAACTACGCTGGCGGGCATGGCAAGAGATGGAGGTGATACGAAATTGAGCTGCACGGAATACAAACTAAGCAGGGTAACGAGACTGTGGACCGTACGTCCGTTCTTGAGGTCACCCAAAAGCGTGATGGTCCGTCCGTTCACAGTACCGAGTTCTGATCGAATGGTGTATATATCCAATAATGCCTGTCGAAAAAGGTAAGAACTATATTTGTTGTCTTTATTGAACGCCGTACCTGTGTGGGGTGCTCCCCAATCCCATCTCCAGCATTGATGATAGGAACAGGAGAAGACTTTGCGGCCAATTGCGCACTGCCGACATCTGGATGCCGTATTACGATGGCATCACCATAACAAGCAAGCGTCCTAATCGTGTCCGGTAACGTCTCTCCCTTCATGACGGAAGAGTTATCTGCGTTGATCTGGACAACTTGCCCACCACATCGTTTCATGGCAGCATCAAACGAGGAGCTGGTCCGCGTCGAGGGTTCATAGAATGCGGTACATAGCACCTTTCCTCTCAGGACGTCAAGAGTCCCGTTACGCTCGACCTGAAGGCGCATCTCATGAGCAAGAGAGAACAGGTCATACATGTCCCGATGGGTGAACTGCTTCACAGAAAGAATGTGCCGGCGATGGAATGATGGATGGGGAAGAAGATGGGAGAAGATATTTAATGCTGGCGGGCCTTGTATCGCAGGATGCCCCGGTGGAACCATGGGCGGCCCCATAGCAAGCGTTGCTATAGCACCCAAGGAGGTGGGCTCCACTGCCTTGAGCGCTGGCGATACCGAAGCCGCCGCAGAAGGATGGGTAATCGTCGCGCTCGAAATGTTTTTGCCGTTAGGCAATGAAGTCAAAGCGCCATCAAGGAAATTCGTCTGACCATGCACGATGACCCTATGGATGGCACCGGTAACGAAGCCCTTTTCCACTGGCGACCAGCATGTTACTCGTTTCCCGAATGGAGCCTTACGGCCAACGACCACTTCAACGGTGGTATTGGCTTGTTCGGGAAGCCCGAAGACGAGGACTGGGTTATCGTGCAATCGAAGACGGATATCTTCAAGGGTGAGGCGCCCATCAGCTACTGCAGTGAGTAGAAGGGGTAGCGTTTCCTCCATGCCTGACCACGGCGAAGTTGTCTCGCCTTGTTCTGTGGCTAAAATATAAGGGGTTGCGCCAACTGAGAAAGCATCGATCGTTTCGAGTTTAGACCACATTGCCTTTTGATCTTCTGTAGTTGGCAGACATGTTGATCTGGGAAATTGAGAGCGGTTAAAGAACAACGAGTATACAGACACATCACATGTGACCTTCAGCTGCTTAGCCTTGCTGAGAGAGATCAACAGCAAGTCGTCGCTTGTGAGGACGTCGGTGACGTGGACGCTTCGGTTGTGAAGGCTAGCCAAAAGCAGCACGGAGGCAAGGTCGGACCCTTTTGCGTTTGTGACAATAGGTTTATCCGATGTCCACGATGTGAAGTGGGCGGCGACCGCAGAAAGTGAAATGGTGACGTGATCAACGTTGAAGGGAATGAAGAGGGCCTTGGCCTCGGCTTGCAATTCATCGTCTAATCCTTGAACGTTCTGTGCCGACGCGGCAAGCGTGAGCGCAAAATTGCAATGAGCGGAGCCCTTGAGATTGGCCTTAGCGGCATCCAGTGACGCACGATCCGTAATCCGTGTGCTATGACCTATGGGAATCACAATCGCAGTTGTAAATCCTGCGCTAAGCGACGCTTCCGTTGCTTCTTCGAGATCCTTGCTACCCGGTTCCGCGAGGTTAGGCACAAATGTAGCGATGCTAACCAACCCAGGGAAAGTATGGGTCTGATGAGAGCTCTTCGAATCCACAGTCGACACATCTAGTGGTAACTTTCGCACGAGGGCTTCAGCAAGCATTTTGGCGTTTTTGACATTAGTGATAAGAGGGACAGCAAAGTCAACTGCCATCCTTCGAGTGTGATAGCCTTTACTTGTATAGCTTGCGGGTCGCCGATAGTGGTTCTTGGACGGTAGATTGATATACATATCAATAAGATTATTCGCAAGATGCTGAGTGAGGGAGTATTCGGACTTTTGCTTCTCCCGATTGTCTTCTCCAAGCGTTTCCAAGTACTTCAGGAAATGTAAGCCAGGAACGAGACATAAATGGTGATTTTACCTTGCAAGGAACATTATGTTCTGTCAAAAAGTCGGCGGTACCGGATGTTGCGAAAATATTATACCCAGCGGCACTCAATTTTTGGACTGATGGAAGCAGCTCCAGCTTTTCTCGGTAACTGCCAATCGAGAAAAGAATATTTTTCTTAGGCGGCACGATACCAGTGGAAATGAGAGCCTTGAGGTACGCCTCGTATTTGTCGTGACCAAAGCATGCAACTTCTCCTGTCGACGCCATCTCTACTCCAAGAATAGGATCAGCACCAGACAGTCGACTAAAGCTGAATTGAGGGACTTTGATTCCCACATAATCGGGAGGAAGATCTGATTCCGGATACGATTCAACGGGAAGATCAAGCATGACTTTAGTAGCCATCTCGATAGCGTCAATACCGGTCACCTTCGAGACGAAAGGGAAAGATCTTGCGGCCCTAAGATTGCATTCGATGACCTTGATCTCGTTATTCTTTGCAATGAACTGGATGTTGAAAGGCCCTGTGACATTGAGCGCGTTTCCGATTTTCGCGGTGGCGTCGGCGATCTGTCGCACTGTTTGAGGGTCCAAATCTTGAGGCGGATGTATCAAGGTAGCATCACCTGAATGCACTCCAGCATTCTCTACATGTTCGGAGATGTAGTGCATGACCATCTTGCCATCCTTAGCAATAGCGTCCATCTCAATCTCTTTCGCTTGCTCGATATACTTGGTAATGACGACGGGGTGGTCGCGGGAAACTGCGGTGGCCTGCGTCAGATAGTTCTGCAAGTCGTCCCCAGTAGACACGACATTCATAGCCGCACCGGACAGGACGTATGATGGCCGGACCAAAACAGGGTAGCCCACTTTCTCGCAGAACGCGTAAGCCTCGTCGAAGCTCGTGAGTTCCTTCCATAATGGTTGGTCCACCCCAATCTCGTCCAAGAGACGCGAGAACTTGAATCGATTCTCAGCGGTATCGATCATCTCTGGCGACGTCCCGTAAATATTAACGTTTTCGCGGTACAGTGGAAGCGCAATGTTGTTAGGCGTTTGCCCACCCATTGAGAGAATGACGCCTCGAGATTGCTCTGCATCGTAGATATCGAGGATGGTCTCCAAACTGATGTTCTCGAAATACAAACGATCGGCCTCGTCATAGTCAGTACTGACGGTCTCGGGGTTATAATTAACCATAACGGTGGGGAGACCTTCATCACGAAGAGTACGGATGGCCCGGACAGCGCACCAGTCAAATTCGACGGACGAACCAATGCGGTACACTCCAGACCCCAGAACCATGACACCACGATCGTTGAAGGAAATATCGTGCTCCACTGCATTGTAGGTCGTGTACAGATAGTTAGTGAATGCAGGAAATTCGGCAGCAACGGTATCGATCTGTTTCACAAAGGGAGCAATCCCTTGCTCCTTGCGAAGCGTGCGTACAGCGAGTTCCGTCGATCCCACACAAGTAGCAAGCTGTCTATCCGAGAACCCAAGTTGCTTCGCTTGACGGAGAATATCGGGAGTCAGAGTCGAAACACTATACCCGCTAAGAGACAACGTTCAGTTGCAGAATGGACTAAAAAGAAGGGATACATACCCCAGAAGCACCTCCATCTCATAAATGTACTTCAGTTTCGCTAGGAACCATTTATCGATGTTAGTCATTTGCCAGATCTTGTCGATGCTATAGCCACGATGGAAGGCGGTTGAGATGGCGAATATACGCTTATCCGTTGGGTTGACGAGCTCTTCATCGATATTCTCCACGAACTCGTTCTTCACAATACTCATTAGAAATGATCATTAATAAGAAAAGCAATGGTTACCTTCACAAATCCTGAGAATTGGTCGTCGATAGCTCGAATGGCCTTCTGAATTGTCTCCTCAAACGTTCGCCCAATGCTCATGACCTCGCCAACACTCTTCATGCTACTACTAAGAAGACGACTGACACGGTTGAACTTCTTCAAGTCCCATCGAGGAATCTTGACTACCACATAATCCAAGCTGGGTTCGAAGCAAGCGCTAGTGACTTTCGTGACCGAGTTTTTAATTTCATTGAGGGGAATTCCCAGACCGAGCTTCGCGGCAATGAAAGCAAGGGGATAACCGGTAGCTTTGGATGCAAGAGCCGACGATCGAGACAGACGTGCGTTAACCTTGAAGGACATGCGTGATGATTAAGAAGACTACGGGGAGAAGGTTGCGTAACTGACCTCGATGATACAATACTCTTGGGAGTTGGGATTGAGGGCGTACTGGATGTTACACTCACCAACAACGCCAAGATGTCTGATTACATTGATGGCAGTTGTCCGGAGCATGTTATAATCCGAGTCGGAAAGCGTTTGTGAAGGGGCCACGACGATGGAGTCCCCAGTGTGAATTCCTAAAGGATCGAAGTTCTGCGTGGGTGTTATGGGCGTCTCGTAAAGATAGAAAAGAAGAAAGCTAACCTCCATGTTACAGACCGTGATGCAATTATCACGGCAATCCCTGACTACCTCGTACTCGATCTCCTTCCACCCCTTCATACTCTTTTCCACGAGGACCTGAGGACTGGTAGCGAAAGCCTTGCTGCACAGCGCCTTGAGCTGGGCTTCATCCTGCGCAAAGCCAGATCCCAGCCCTCCCAGTGCATACGCAGCACGAACAATGACCGGGAACCCAATGCTCCTTGCAGCGTTGATGGCCTCCTCCTGGTTAACAGCGGTGCAACTCTCTGCACACTTCTCCCCAATCTCGGCCATGGCACTCGCAAACAGCTGCCTGTCCTCCGTGGTGATGACCGTGTCGATAGGCGTTCCTAGCACCTTCATGCCAAGCTCCGCGAATTCGTCCTTCAGCTTGATACCCACATTCAAAGCTGTCTGGCCACCAAATGTAACGTAAATACCATCTGGCTTCTCATACTTGATGATTTTCCGGACGAACTCTGGCGTGACTGGGAGGAAATACACCTTGTCGGCCAGACCCTTGGACGTGGCGATGGTGGCGATGTTGGGATTCACCATGATCGTATAAATTCCCTCCTCCTTGAGTGCCTTAATCGCCTGAGATCCAGAGTAATCAAACTCGCCCGCTTGACCGATAGACAAGCCTCCGGACCCAAGAATAATAACCTTGGTGACATCGGCACGGGGAACGCGCTTATCATTGTCCTCTTTCTTCCCACTAGGGAGTGAGATGGTAATGGCGCAGTCCACGATGTTTTTAATGAAGACGTCAAACAAAAATTCGGTGTCACGTGGTCCAGGAGTGGACTCTGGGTGGAACTGGACAGAGAAGAATGGCTTGTCTTCGCAGTAGATACCCTCGTTGCTTCCGTCATTGGCATTTCGGAACAGTTCTTTCCAGCCGGCTGGCAGTGTCGGTGTGTCCACCTGGAAACCATGGTTCTGACTGGTGATATAACAACGACCGGAGAGCATGTCTGTACAAGGAATGTTGTGACCGCGATTTCCGTATTTCATCTTGGAGGTCTTCGCGCCTGCCGCGAGAGCGAGGAGTTGGTGGCCGAGACAGATGCCAAAAATTGGTTTATCGGCCTTCTTCATGGCTTCCGAAAGCCTGGTGATGGTCGAGGAGAGCAGCGATGGGTCGCCGGGGCCGTTGGAGATGAAGATACCATCATATGGCTCTGACTCGCCTAAAAAGTCGTAGTCCCATGGAACAACCTTGAGCTCGACACCTCGATTGATGAAGCAACGAACTTGGTTGTACTTCATCCCCACATCGATGGCCAGAACGCGGATTGGTCTGCCTGAAGGGTGTAGATGTGGAGCGATAGTTGACGAGTAAAGTCGTGGTTCCATGATGGACACTTCCGCGACGAGATTGGCTTGGTTAGGGTCCTGGAAAGGAATGTCGAAGTAATCTTCTCTCCAGGAAGCCGTAGTATGGGGAGAGGATGCCCGAGATGACACAAGGTTTGGCGACAACCTCCGACCCAATGGCATTTCGGGCCTCCTTGCAAGAATTTTCCCTAGCATGGAGCCTTTTTCCCGGATCTTTTTGGTAAGGGCGCGGGTGTCGACGCCGTAAATCGCGGGCACTCCATTTTCTTTGAGCCAGTCGCTCAGCGACGACTCCGCGAGGAAATGGCTGAAATCTTGGGAGTAGTTGCCAACCACGACAGCGGCGACGTGGATGCGAGACGACTCAAACTCGGCTGGGAGGTCAGAGGCGTCACTGGATCGCTTGGGCACACCGTAGTTGCCGATGAGAGGGTAGGTCAAGATGAGGATCTGCCCTTCATAGGATGGGTCAGTTAGAGACTCCGTGTAGCCCACCATACCTAAGAGAAAAGAGTAAGCCTTTTTTTCAGAAAAAAAAACACAACATACCGGTCTGAAAAACGCATTCGCCTGCTACGCTCGTTCTCTCTGCACCAAAACTGATGCCTCGAAAGGCGGATCCATCACTTAGTTCGAGGACTGCATCGTCGATAGACAACGTCGACTTGTTATTTTGAGCGTAGGGTGCAGTCGCTAGAGGGGTCGGAAACAGGTTGCTCGATGTGCGTGACAACACTGGGCGGGTTGTAGACATGGTCGACAATAAAGAATGGATTCAAGACTTGGTTGCTGTTCTCGTCGTCGTCTTCCTCTCCACCCGGATTCGAGCCAGAGGTTCGTGTTCGAGGGGAGAGGAAGAAGAAGAAAAAGAAAAAATCTGCGGAGGCCTTGATGATCTTGTCCCCACATGGCAATGACCAATCATGGCGTAACATGCGCGCGGGGAATTGGGAGGTCAGAAATCATACTCAGCGTTGATTTCAGTCTTTGTGCAAGGTAAGAAGTTATTATGGTCTGTGGCGGGCTGCGGGTTTGCAGGTCGTGTTCAAAAGATAACGAGGATATTTGGACCCTGCAAGATAAGCGCCGTATTACCACGGAAAAACTTATGAGATAATAACATACGACTCCGGAGCCGAGCATCCGTCAGTAGCATTACTACTAGTGCATGGTCGTGGTAATGTATTATCAATTTAGTATACTGAAGGTTCATTATGTAGGTATCGAAAGATGAACTAGCGAGGGAATGTATGAAGCATGATTGATTGATTTGCCGTACCTTTCGTTGGAACTTCATCGACATCAGACGCTGCTCTTTCTGAGAACTTCATGAACATGTCAGGTCTCCGTCCTACGTCTGGATCTGGGAGCGAGCAAGTATGAGTCTCGAAACATGTAGCATTTTATCAGACTCACAAGAGTGTCAGAGATAGCTAGTGTGTTTGAATATCGGATTAGACTCAGCAGGCCCACGACCAATGATTCTGGCTTATCCTCCATGGACTTGCTCATTCTCAGGGCCTAAATTTTGACTAGCTATATCATGCTGTTACGAAACAAGTATACTTCCTGGCAGCTACATGGTAAAAACCATCGATGATATGGACGCCTCGTCAGCTGGAAGAATGGGTCCGAAACACCGAATCGAAACAAGACAATAAGTTGGCGTAAATGTCCAGTATCTACGAACAGCCGACTGCAGGCAAGACACAGTCGACTTGGTTAACTATGAATTCATGACAATCCAAGAAGACCCGAGATTCCAGGTGCTGTGTACACGAGAGACCAAACGTGGATGCTTGCACAGATCGAAAATGGGCGCCTAGGTATAGCCCAATTGATCCATGCAGCAAAGATCATAGCGGCGACTTTAGTCGAATAGCCTTCGCATCCCAGTATTAGAGTTCACTGAGTAAAGTTTTTCAAAGCGGCCGCCTGTGACTATCACATATGCCAAAATGTTGACCAGGCAATAATGTAGTGCACCCAAGCAATCTCGTTAGGCCCGGGGTTGTAGACGGATTGAACACATTCGATGACTTCGACACCGGCATGTTTTGAAGTCCTGCGCAGCTTCAGTGAACTGTTCAATATGCATGCAGTACAGGGAGAGTTCTACAGAGAACAAGACCATGACCACTGACGCCCGCAGTCGCAATTTCAATATTCTCCGACATGCAATGGAACCACGAATAGCAATCATTATGGACATTTCCTTGTCGAGGGTGATATGTACTTGCTGCGTACTCGTTTCTCGTACATATGAGTGCCAGGAGCCTCTCGGACCACGTACTGGGGCCTTACTGCTTCTCTGTTGTGGTTCTATTGATATAAACTCTGCCCTTTTACACCGTGATACTGCCATGATGCTGTGTACTCACCATCAGCATTTGGTGAAAGACATCGGGCGACTTTCGATGCTGGAACTTTCGTCATACTCCTTCACAATTTCGCAGGCGACCCCTACATGATGGATTCCATCTGTCTGTATCCCTTTGCGAGCCTTGACCAGCACGATGGTGAGTTGAAAAGGATACTGTAGGCTCCTCACATGACCAAGAGGCCCATCAGCTTCCTTCCATCTCTATATAATAGATGGTAATAATAGACCAAAGTCCCACGGACGTACTGTTCGCACGTGGTGATCCCGTTTGCACCAGCACTCGTTCTAATGAAGGCTGTTCTGCCGTTGCGAACTGTTACCAACGACGACCTCGAATAGCTCCGACTCCGACTCCGTCCTTTACTTTCTACCGCTATACGCGGCGCCTAAAGGCCTCCCATTGCTCTTGGAATCCTACTTGCGATGCTGCCTCTGAAGTCACCTTCGTTGGCCAACAGCGCTCGATTTAGCATCAGTCAAGGCTCGAACCGGTTTCGGGAGTCGACCCGCCTTATCCCTTCTCGAATATCGGAGGATAAGCGCTATGTATGTGCGCATTGTCTCCAACATTTCCATGTGCTAATTTGTGCAGAAACCACTTGCGCTTTCTCTGCCTGTCGTGGTAGCAACGCCACTTTCCATGCTGGCTTTGGGTGTGGCGCTTGAAATAGGCGTCAACATTTCCAACAAGAATCAGGGTGCGGAGGATGCGTGGTTCGTGCAGTATGGCTCCCGTTAACAATTGCCTCAGGCTTTAGTGTCCCTGACTCCAATCCGCTCACATTTTTGTCCACGCAGTTTTTACTTGTGGGTGATGATGCCAGAGCTTCTGTGGTTAGTTGCTCACGTGCAAGTCTTTTTAGTCTTTTGTGCCTACAATGTAATGTTGCGAGATTCGCGTATCTATGCAGATTTTGACTCTGTACAGATTCATCATTCCAATGGCATTTCTTTGGCGTGAACTAGATTGGTATCTTAGGTGGTATCAGGTGCGTTTGTCAATCAGCGATTGGCATCCTTTACGGCTGACTTTCTTAGCCATATGTCGTCCTCTCACGAGGAAATGCTTCCGTCGAGGAAGGCATATTGTTAGATTATGTAGGCCGTAACTTGCCTTCAGATATAACTGTCATTAAATATGCTGTAGATCTCTCTTGGGTATGTCATCCAATGCGGGCGATGTTCGAAAAGAATTCCGAATTCTGTCCTTCAGTCCATTTTTTGCTTTGTTCTACTCGTCCAAGTTCAAGCACAGAGTTGTGTTTTGGTCAGCTTTCACAGCATGTGCAACCTATCTTCTACAGCCCCTTGGTGAGTTACATATTCTCATCAGAATACCTGCTTATGTGACCATAGCAAGCTCCATATTCCAGATTCAGCAGCGCTCAATGCCTTCAGGTGCGTCTAGAAAACGGAGATAAGCGTATTCAATCTAACCGCTTCCAGACACGACGGTAACGAGTACGCGGACCATTGGACTGGCACCAGATGTCGATCAGTTAAACGCATTTGTTGCCGCCGCTGGGGTGCGCTCAATTCTTTATCATTGTCTGTCTGCTGTCTGACATGCCGTCTAGTTCGCCGAAGCAGCTGCTTTTAATAATCTTACAGATCCTCCTTTCATCCAGGGCGGGTGGGCTACCGCTGAGTTCACCATTCCTAGTAACAACGGCCTCAATGCCACAATTAAAGTGGATACTACGGGGATCCAAACGCAGCCCAATTGTGAAAATGCACGAAACACAACTTTCGATGAAACAACCTCGACCATTGAATCTGTGTCCATATCTGATTGCGCTCAATCGGTGCCAGTCAATACGTCGGTACGTAATTAATTGACGGAGCAAAGCTGACCGAACGAATCAAATCTTTTAGATGGGTATACAGTATGGTGTAGTGAATCTGGGATGTGGTAGTGAAGCGGATCTTGGTGTTGAATTCCAGCCGGTCATGTTTTGGTATGTGCTCAACCTCTAGTCGTGATTTAGAGCGTTCGTTATACGGGATACAAGGTACTTCCATCAACGATCCGACAATGAAGAATTCGAAGCGAGGACTGTATTTTGTGCTCCTTCCATTCAGACATTTAATGTGATAGCCCAAGCATATCTACAAGATCGTACGATTGCTGAGTGTGAGCTCACCAATAACTATACGCAGTCCAATAACGTTACCGGTGCCCCACTCTTTGGACATCCGTTTAATGCGTGCGTACTTTGCTACAACCTCATGCTCCATGAGTCTAACACATGTGCAGCGTCGTCTTTAATAGCAGCACGAATCCATTCATACAGGCCAGAGCAAATGCTACAAACACCGCCATCCCGGGAACCGTTTTTAGATTTGCTTCTCAGCTCCAAAATGGACCCCAGTCAACATTTGATCTTCCGAATGGGTTCTTAGATATAACAACCCAAGTCTATGTACGGCGTGGCACTGTCCTGAGAATTGACATTTTTTTGATGGTAATGATCAACAGACACAACATCTAGCTTTGACGGCAAAAAACATCTATTTCGTTGCTGAGAACAGGACGATACCAGCTCAGCTTGAATCTTACGTTCCGCGGCTGGTCATCAAGTATGTCGTTTCTTCTCTGGTTTCTACGGTCGTTGATCACTCGTTCAAAGTTCACTTCCTGGCCATGCGCTTGCTTTGCTGCTTTTCGTTATCGGGTTCATCGGAACATTCCTTCACATCATCAATCGACGACAACGTCGCCACCTGTTCATCGCTTCGCCTCCAGGGTCAATCGGAGGGATCGTGTCGATGACAAGTCATTCAGGCTTCGGCCAATTATTGGTACCGTATGACAGTGAGGAGAGCATTGAGCGCAAGCTGAAAGGACTGCGGTTCCGGCTGGACAAGCGGACAGGTGCTATTGTAGCGGAGGATGATGACGTAGGGGAATATGAGGCTGATGGAGACGGCGTTGCGCTGTTGGGAGTGTCAAACGGCCATGCACGGGATTCCTCTCCAGGCGCGTTTGCCGCGCCCACGAGGTATGCACCGTGGAAAGGCCTTTCGATGCCGCTGAGAACTCCGTATGATCCGCTATGAGGAGTAGTATTCGTTTTTGTCGGACTTTTTCTCAGACTTTCTACGTACCCTTAGAGCTTCACAGCACCACTATCATCAATGAATTATTTCAACCTTCTAGTCACTTACGCTTTTAATTTGCATGATGTTTAGGAGAAAAAAGTTGTGCTCTGGAACCTGCTGTGGCGTTTTCTTAGGTATTGATTCCAACTAAGTATAGAAGACAAGTGGTGCTGCGATTGGACCGCGGCTCTCGCATGATGCCGAAAAGAGCGTCAAAGTGTATTGAGGCACGATCCATCCATCTTCCGAGAATCTGAGCTTCCACTTCTTGTCCATCTTACGCATGCTAGGTTTCAGAATTCTGAGTCTCCAGCGGAGTTCTCCAATTCACGACTCCTCAACGGGGGGAGAGAGTGGGGAAAAAGTTTAGGACTTACTAACCATCTCCGAACATGATCGTGGATGAGTCGATGATCGAGTGGCGTTTGGACGGACATAGCTCCGATGAACATTAATGCTGTACTTAGTCCTAGAATGTGGCCCCGCAGTAGTAGTAATGGGCGCCTCTCCTGTAGCTTTAGTCGGTAATGAGCAAATTCGATGTTCTCCGGAACCAGTGATATTTAGAGACATTACGGAGGGAGAGCGTCGGGCCTAGTAGGAAGCTTAAGGATTTTATTTCAACCAGGGCAACAGAACGCGCTTAACACACTAGAACCAAACAAGGAGGCGTTGGCATGCCCCTCTCTTCGATCCAATGTCGCTTATTCGAGGAAAATCTGGCTTTCATACAGGATATCATTGCTACTTGATTGCTACACGCCAGGAAATGAGTGCTAACCGCTCTTGTTCCCGCCGCATACTCCAGGATGTCCTTAAACGCTTCATTTTTTTTCTCCCATAAGGTTTTCCAAGTCGCGACAGGTCCGCAGAAGTCGGTAAGTGGAATATATGAGCGATTGCGAGTAGACAGGACTTACATCGAATTGAAAATATTCATTGTACAGCTTACCAGACTCATATAAAGAAATACTCGCTCGCATCTCTACCTACGCCGCCTTGGGCCTTCCTTTCTTTGTTATCCCAAGCGCCATTCCCACGACCACCATGGATGGAGGTTCATGCAGCACGGGATCCCTTCAGTGTTGCGAGTCTGAGCAGGACGTAAGCCGGAGTCACCCTCAGCTCGTATCAAGAAGAAGGACACCCACGAACAATTAACCCGCGTCCTCCGATATAGCCGCTCTTGGGTCTTTTTGGAATCCCTGCCGGTGACATCTCCGCTCAAGTGTAGGCATTTTTTGGAGAAAATATGATGGAGCTGCTAATAACGTGTTCATAGCGATCTCACCTACATTCCTCTCACTCATTCGTTTGGGAACCACCCAGTGGGCGACCGGCCCTTTTGCCGCAGGGATAATCACTTTGTGAGTATACAGTAGCATGTGAGAGAAGATAACGACAATCTGATTCAATTCCCGAGCAGAACAGCCTTATTGCCCTTGGATGCGCTCCCATCAACATCGGCCTCCAACCCGAAAGGCGTTCAGGATCGTAACATCGTGAGACATTGTTTGGCTGCACGCTCTGCGGGTGGTTCTTTTCTTTTCTTTCAGTTAGCCTACAATTTCTTTGTAGTCGCTGAGTATGAAAAACAATAATACGGGTCAATGATAAACAGTCTAGGTGAAATTCGTTAGCCAAGAGCTTGATGGAATGTCAATCTCGTGCGGAGTACGCGTATTGATCCTTCAACTACCGGTTGAAGATTGGCGCTGAGCGATTGTTCAGTATTCGAAAATAACAGAAATTAAATACAATATAGGAAGTTGCACGGCCATGAAACACCACCAAGAGACGAAGAATCAGCAAGGCCATTACGGACCCGAGCTAAAAATAGCACTCGAACTTTGATTGCCTGGAGGGACAAGTCGTTCACGTTACTTATGCTTTGGTGGGAGGATGTAAAATACAGCTTCTGGGTTAAGATAGGGCTTAGCAAGGGACTTAGGAGGATTCGGTCTAGATGGGAACATTACAGCGGTCATCACAAAGATCTGGAAAGAAGTGCAATTCGATGGAAGCGCGGTGTGATTGTGATTTCCTTCCTTGGCCCGGGTTGAATGATTCGATAAAAAAGCCTGCTAAATCATAATTCCCAAGCCAAAAATATGATCCTGTTCAGCGGTTGAAGCGAGGCTAAAACCTATAAAGGCTAGGTGAAAGAGCCATCTATCTCCCCAAGTCGATTTCCCTCCACTTACTTATTCAATATTCGCCATGTTTGCCCGCCTCCACACTCTCTTTGTCGCTCTTTTCTTCGCCATTCCCCTCCTTGCGGTCGGCACTGCCATTCCTCGTGGAGGTGACAGTTGTACCACTGGTGAGGTGCAATGCTGCCAATCTGTTCAAAATGTAAGCATGCTTCGCATGTTTTCGGTCCCGCAAATGCTGACGGTTATCAAGTCCGGCTCTACTAGCAATCTCACCACTACCCTTTTCGGACTCATTGGAGTTGTTGTTGGAGACCTTGGTGTGAATGTGTAGGTGTCCTTGAATGTCACGGATATGATGTGGTTACTAACCTGGTCGACCTGGTCGACAGTGGCCTTACTTGCTCTCCTATCAGCGTCATCGGCGTTGGAGGAAACAGTTGCTCTGCTCAGACCGTTTGCTGCGAGAACAACAGCTTCGTAAGTCGCTTAGTTGATATAGTTTATTGTTCGAGGACTAAAATGATATTCGCAGAACGGTGTCATCGCCCTTGGCTGTACTCCCATCAACGTGGGACTCTGAAGAGCTGAAAGAGGCGGCTCAGTCTTTCATGGTTGTATCATTGAGGGGCGACAAAATCACGTACTGTTTGGGCAAGATATCAGAACACTCATTTGAATACCTACTTCTTTCATATTGGTTCTTGCTAGCTTTTTTATAATAAATATACCGCGCGGTTTTTCTTCGTAACATGGTGTGAATGACTGAGAGCCCGTAATTTCGATATCAAGTGAATCGAAAATTGGAACCTTAGCCGTTGCCGCGAACCGCACACTGCCTGTGCAGTTGGGGACAAAGTACCTGATGAAGAAGTTACTTAGCGTGTTTTCAGCAAGTGGCAAAGAAATGGAAGATTATTAGCCTCGTTACCATCCACATGCCTTGAACGTGTTCGCTGTCGTTTCGACCTCTCGCTTTCAGGACGCGAGCAGTTCTAGGCATCCCAATACTGATGCGCATTCAGAAAATAACTGATCGAAGCCGTTCTGGCGCTGCCCGACTTTCGGATTACCCCCGAAGCGCCGTCAGTCAGAACCAAGTCTTGCATGCGGTTTTTGTTTTGGGGATATTCGTAGAAAATGCCCTTTTTCCAACGGGAAGGTATATGGCCACTTATGGATGTTGCAACGACTCTGAAAGATATAAAAGCTAGTCAATAAACCCATTTTTTGGCACCGACACCACTCCCTCTCACCTATTCTATCTAATAATCCTCTAAGACAGCCATGTTGTTCCCCCGTATCGTCCCAGCCTTCCTCCTGACTCTGCCTCTCCTTGCATACGCTGGGGAAACCGGTTGCACAACCGGAGAAGTCCAGTGCTGCCAACAAGTCGAGAGTGTAAGCTCTTTCGCTACCTGCTTCATCACTAGGGATACTTACGGTGGTCATCACCACTAGGCTGACTCTGATATTGTCTCGACCCTCTCCGGCCTTCTAGGTATCGCTCTGGGAGCTCTCGGTCTCAACGTGTGAGTAGCATCCTCAATGCGCGGTATTCTTGCTCACAGTAATATGCAGTGGTATCACCTGCTCCCCCATCAGCGTCATTGGCGTCGGAGGCAACAGTTGCTCTGCTCAGACAGTTTGCTGCTCAGGCAATACCTTTGTAAGTTGACGCATATGCATTTACTTTCAAGGCCTGATTTCTGGTTTGCCAGAACGGTCTTATTGCCCTTGGTTGCACTCCCATTAACATCGGCCTCTAAAGAGTTGGGGAATCTGTGTAGTCGTCGTAGTTGTTTCATTGGGATATAGGGATCGTGATCTTAGTTAGATTTCCGTTCTTGATTTTGACGTCCCGTGTTATTTCCTAAATGAACCAACGGACTATTTTCTTGGATAAAAATGATGTCCCAGTGACGATTCGAGTCTTCGGCAACCTTGAAACAAGTAGGTCAGTGTGGCCTGAACACAAAATTTGAACCGACATACGCCATACAATGGCACGTTGAAAACATTTCGCCTCTGTCATAAACTTGAAGTATTTTGATGCGCTTCGCGCCGCTTGTTCTCGTACCATGTAGCATAGATAGGCACAGAAGTCTAGAAACGGCGGTAGTAAGTATCTAACGATTATCATCGACGTGGATCGACACACTGACGCACGGCTCATGCCGATCAGCGGTCGTGCATACTATTTAGGTCGACTCTGCAGGTAGCAGCGGAATTATAGCAAAGCGGTGTGCTTCATAGTAACGTGCGACGTTCGCTTAAGTCAGTGCATACTACAGCGGGCTCGTTGAACCAGTACTAGTGCAGGTGCGGAGACTCCCGCTCTTCACTGTCCGACTTTCGGTAAATCTTCAGTTGCTCATAAGCACATACCCGAGTCCGATGGATGTAGGAGTTAGCCAGTGCCAATAATGATCCGAAGTAAATGAAAACGTTTAACATTCCGCAAGTCGTATTTTTTTCTAGCTCACGCGGTCCATGTGATATTCTTATGGAATTAGAGCCAGAACCGAAGTGAACCCTGAAGAAGAAAATAACAAGAAAATGGAGTCAGCGCAAGCCTGAGCGTGGGAAAAATTAGCCTCCAAGGATCGTCATTTCAACCACCTTGTCACCCCGTCCAATGCGTCTGTGTGCGAGAACTGGGTCTTCTTGGCATCCCCCAGGTGGATTGGTCTCCAGGACTCTTTGATTTGACAATACAAAACTCCTACCTGGCATGCTGTTCAAGAACTTCCAGAAATTTTCGTTCTTCGGTTCGGCCGCTCTGGATATCACCTTGTGGGCACCATCATTCCAATATGCCCTGACTCACGCCGGACTTTCTGAACTGCCCATTTGACCCTAAATCACCTTCCGAAGCAGCGGGCGTGATACCTCACTCGTTTGACCAATGTGTCGCCCTTCTGTCCACCTGGTCCACGATTGTTTAGCGTTGAAGTACCTGCCGGGAGAGACACGATGCCTCACTTAAAAAGGCTGCTCAAAAATCTTTCTAATTATCGATCCTTGATTTCCTTCGAACATGTTTGCTCGCATTTTCACTTCTGTTTTCTTCGCGTTCGCTGTCTTTGTGACTTTCGCAGCTGCCGGTTGCACGCCGACCACGACGACGAAGACCGTAACTACTACGGTGTCAACTACTGTACGAGCATGATGTCTCTAATATCTTGTCGGTACTTTATTCTCATTTGAACAGGCTACCACCACGGCTACATCGATCCCTGCTTCTGAGTGCAGTACCGGGAATACGCAGTGTTGTAATGCGCTTGAGCGGGTACATGAATTTGAGACTATGCCCGAACATTGCTCATTGAATTTTTCAGGCGGACGATTCCGCCGTGGGTGTCATTTTCGGGCTCCTAGGTGTTGTTCTTCAGGACCTTGAGGCTCTTGTGTATGTTCTAGACATTCAGCCTATGGACCATTGCTTAATGCTGAATTCTCACTCCACAGTGGCATTACCTGTTCCCCTATCGACCTTGTCGGAATCGGTGCGTCTCGTCTCCCATATCCCCCGCATTAGAAATTTATCGTTATGTTTTACAGGCCAGGGAACAAAATGCGCCAGTCAGACTGTTTGTTGTCAAAACAACACCTTCGTGGGTGGTCTACCATGCTTAGCAGGGAAATACTCACTACTTGACAGAACGGTCTCATTGCCATTGGTTGCGTACCCATCATCATCAACCTTTAATTCAATCCCTACGGTGCCAGATTGCTGGGAACCTTATTTCTTTAGTTTGTATTCTTGGATTCGTGTTGTCATTATCATTGGTTGCTCTTTGAATCCATCTGCGGTTGCAATGATTGCCAATCTCGTTCGTGACGTGAGGTTCAGAGGGCACTTACTCCGCGCGGTGTTGGAGCTTATAGAGTGATTGTCATGGGCTGGAAAAATGCGGAGAAGCCATTCATCCAATAATACAGCGGGCAAGCGAGTTGTACATTTAAGTTTATGTATTCACCAATGAAGATGGGCCGATACTTTGACTCCTTCAATAGGAGTAATAATACATTATAGTAGATGTTTTGAGCAAGGCCATACGACAATACAGCCGGGATCTCATTCCTATAGGAGAAGAATAAGTTATATATGTCATGTATAACCGAGCTCAGAGCTGGACCATTTCTGTACTGTTCAAATTCAAGTGAGGTCTAGGGATGAGCACCGTATTCGCACTACGGTGGATACAGATACGGGTCTGTACCAGGGCTGCTTTCGATGACGCAAATATGGTCGTATTCATACGGCTGAAATACGGTTGTTAAGGGAGTGGCCGGGCGTAATCTAATGTCATCGAAGTAAGCATACATGATCTCAATAAAGCGATTAACACTTCGTCGTCGCTGTAAAGTTGTCCGCATACGGCAACGGTAGGGACACGGTACGGATTTGACATCAACGTATCGTACCGTGAGCAGGAATTTTGGTACGGTCTGCCGCCGTATCCGTAACTGTCCGGTGCACATCCCTGGCACAGTGAGGTCCTGACAGACATAGGCAGGGAAAGAAATTGTTTTCTGAGGAAATAACGCGCCAAAATTACTAGGTAGGGATATAATCACGACAAAACTCATTAAGGAACCATTCCCAATCAACTTCATGCAGATTCAAGCCTTGGACGTCTGGACTCGGAAGGTGAAGGACGCGTCTGAAGGAATACACGTGACGGTGGAATGACCGAGCCACTTCGGAGTTTTAACTGAGTTTGAATTTCCCAAATTTCGTGGTCGGTTAGGCGTCTTCCATCGCCCTCCTGTCCACCCAACTTCGTCCTTATCCACGATAATCCTTCATGTAGGTGCCTTCTCCTTGCTATGATAGGGCCTCTCGCATCTATAGTGCGTCGTTTGAGCCATTGCTTTTACCATCTACGCGGTTTTTATTCGCGCGTTGGTATCGTATCATTTTTAAACTCGCACTTTTAACTTCTGTGGCCTGACTTTTATCTTCCAGCATGCGTGAAATTGTCCACCTCCAAACTGGCCAGGTAAATTTCTTTCAGATCATCCAAGTAATTCGATGCTTATGGTTACGGTGAATTCGTTAGTGTGGTAACCAAATCGGTTCGTACCGCAAGTCGGCGTTACTCTCTTAGCTTACAAACTACTTCGTGTTCAGGTGCCAAGTTTTGGGAGGTTGTATCTGACGAGCACGGTATTGAGCGTGACGGTCTCTACAAGGGAACCAACGACCTCCAGCTCGAGCGTATCTCTGTGTACTACAATGAGATCGGGGCCAACAAGTACGTTCCTCGTGCTGTCCTTGTGGATCTAGAGCCCGGGACTATGGACTCTGTCCGCTCTGGACCTCTTGGTGGACTTTTCCGTCCCGACAACTTTGTCTTTGGACAGAGCGGTGCTGGTAACAACTGGGCGAAAGGGCGTGAGTCTCAGTTTACTTTCTTTTCTCTTCTGTATTTTGGAACTGTTGATGCTTTCGCCTCTTTTCAACCCCCTTTCTTCCTTTTTTCCCGCCATTTGCTCACATTTGATTTTTTTTTTTGCGTCTAGACTATACCGAGGGTGCTGAGCTCGTCGACTCTGTTCTGGATGTCGTGCGTAAGGAGGCAGAGGGAACCGACTGCCTACAAGGTCAGCATGGCAACAGTCATTCATTCTTCTTGTTCATGTCGTTATAGGCTTCCAAATCACCCACTCCCTCGGTGGTGGAACTGGTGCTGGTATGGGTACTCTCTTGATCTCGAAGATCAGGGAAGAGTACCCCGACAGAATGATGTGCACGTACTCCGTCGTGCCCAGTCCTAAAGTCTCGGACACTGTCGTTGAGGTACGCCACTTTAAATCACACTGTATACGTAATGACACCCGCGCCCTAGCCCTACAATGCCACTCTCTCAGTACATCAACTTGTTGAGAACTCTGATGAAACGTTCTGTATTGATAATGAAGCTTTGTACGATATCTGCTTCCGGACTCTCAAGCTCTCTACGCCCACCTACGGCGATTTGAACCATCTGGTCTCCATCGTCATGTCTGGCATCACTACCTGTCTGCGATTCCCCGGCCAGCTGAACTCTGATTTGAGGAAGTTGGCTGTGAACATGGGTGCGACTCCATTTCAACTGCGATCTACCGAGCTGACTAACTGTATGCTAACTAGTTCCTTTCCCTCGTCTGCACTTCTTTATGACCGGTTTCGCACCTTTAACTGCTCGCGGAAGCCAGCAATACCGTGCCGTGACAGTTCCTGAGCTCACGCAACAAATGTTCGATGCAAAGAACATGATGGCTGCCTCAGACCCTAGACACGGTCGTTACCTCACGGTGAGATCAACTTGGTGGTGAAGTTCATTGATTTCTTACTGGTAACAGGTGGCTGCTGTCTTCCGTGGCAAGGTCTCGATGAAAGAGGTTGAGGAACAGATGCAGAACGTCCAGAACAAGAATTCTGCGTATTTCGTCGAATGGATTCCCAACAACGTTCTTACCGCTCAATGTGACATCGCACCAAGAGGTCTTAAGATGGCCGTTACATTTTTGGGCAACTCCACCGCTATCCAAGAGCTGTTCAAGCGTGTGAGCGACCAGTTCACGGCTATGTTCAAGCGAAAGGCTTTCTTGCATTGGTACACCCAGGAGGGTATGGACGAGATGGAGGTCTGTATCCGGTCTGTTATGGCCCTACAAGTACTGATGTTTCTTATATTGCATAGTTCACAGAAGCTGAATCAAACATGCAAGATTTGGTTGCTGAGTATCAACAATACCAGGATGCAACGTGAGTGCTTTCGAGGCTCTCCCTGCTATCATCAATACTGATGATGGCATTATAGTGTGGAAGAAGACGGCGAGTACGAAGAAGAGCTTCCTGTTGAGGAAGACTAGATGGATGGGCCTTTGTGTGCATGATCGTTTCTCCTCAAAACAGACATATATCTTTTGGTGTCTCTTCTGTCCTCCTTGCTTTCCTACCTTCCAGGTTACCCTATTACATTAACACGCCTTTGATCATCTGTTACGCTTTTTTCGCTTACTTCTAGTGGAATTATGAACTGAATGAATATTTTCGGTTGACTCGGACTCACTGGTCGGGGTATCGGGACTGAGTGGGAATACATTTCATTTCATCGAGTATTTCGGTTCGTTGTCGTTCTATACCCCGCTCTCGCTCTGATGGCGCAATAACAGGACTCCATTCGTCCCTACTCCTGAATACGTGAACGTCAATCAAAACTTTGTTATACTGAACATGGATGCGAAACAATGCTTCCGTTTCGAGGCAGATATTGATAGCTCTGATGCAATCCGTTTTGATGATTTGCTGCCTGAATTGTTATCCCTTGCCTTTGGTGCTGATCTGTCAGATGTCACCAAATTTCTGTTATTGAAAACTGTCCGCGTCATTGGTCTGAATCGTCATCGCGTGCATGAATGTCAGATAACCTTTCGTCTGATCAAAGTCATTACGGCACGCGAAACTGCGCGAGGGAGAGCCTTTTAGCCCCGGTACGATGACTGCATCACAAATTAAAGGGTGAGATATCTCCGTTCGTTTTCTCGGTCAAGGTGTTATAACATTGCATTTTGGCAGGTGTTTTGGTCCGATACAGGAACCTTGATACCGTACGTATCGGCGACAAGGGTTTCCTTGTGCTAGTTCTCGTACAACCCAGGTAGCGTGCCAAGCTCTGTTTTGATGTCGCCCCTTTTCTTCGCAAGCATTACGACAATAGCTTTATTTTTGCCCCACGTACGTTTTTCCAGTTTTTTTCATCAGGCGCTATTAGTCAATGCTCGGGTGTTTGGAGCATAAAAGCCTGGCGAATGGACAGGTTTCTTCAGTGATCCACTGCTCGTTGCTTTCGGTGTTCGCCCTACTCTAAAAGCCATGTTCTCTCGTCACATCCTTGCTACGCTCTTCTATGTCTTCACGACGCAGACTCTCCTTGCTGCCGCCACCCCCGGGGTTCGAACCCAACTACGACGTGAGTCGTGCGGCACACGTCGGGAGGTATGATGCTGACTCTCTCTTTCGCTCGCCAGCACCCAAACGGTGACCACCACTGTCACTGTCTCCGGGGTACGTGTCTTTCAGTTTTGGAGCGGCTTTCCTCAATAACTGATGTGATTCTATGCTAGGCGACTACGACTGTTACTGAGTCGGCCAGCTCTTGCAGCTCTGGTGATCTCCAGTGCTGCACTAGCGTCCAATCGGTGGGTTTGACACATATTTTGTCCTATGGTTGCCTTGCTAAGGTGTGCAATGCTTAGGGCGACAGTAGCGCTGTAAGCGCGCTTTTGGGTCTCCTCGGCGTCGTACTCAGTGACGTGACTGCCTTGGTGTATGCTCATCATTCTGATACATCCTTGATATGTTCTCAAGAGAATCTTTTGTAGTGGTATCACTTGCATACCCATCACCATCGTTGGAGTCGGAAGCACTGGTTGTAACCAGCAGACCGTGTGCTGCGAGAACAACAGCTTCGTATGTGTTCTACCTTGGAGTTAGCGGCACCTTGTGTTAACAATTTTTAGAACGGTCTCATTGCTATTGGCTGCGTGCCCATCAACATTGAACTCTAAGATGGGCTATCTATGATAAAATTCTGAGGCTGAAAAGAATAGAGTGTCCTTCAAGTTGGTGGTATGTATGAGCACGTCACGTCGAATATAACTGCCGAATTTTATTCCGAACTCCGACGGCTTCTAACGGGAACCTCACCAGCCGTAATGTCTCTGTAATCATCGTCTGCCTTCTACCACCATGATCGAGCAGCGCCGACGCGATAAACGCATGCATCATGGGCCTAACCCTTCACTGTGTTAGATCAAATTGCGAAATAACTATCGGAGATAGAATCGTTCGTCGTGGATCAAGCTTCACCTTACTTCATTTTTGACAAGCTCTCTTTTACCCTGAGCGAGGAGAACGGGTGGGGCTCAATGCAATAGCGGTCGGTGATGCGATCAATATTGTTGACTGTTGCGGCCTGCAGTAACCTTGAGACCTCCATTTAAGTCTTGCAGGAATTAACGGAATCCACGCATATATTCGCCCGCACATCGATACTGGTCATAGTCGTTGTAAGAGGGGTGACTACGTCGAGACTAATGCATATCAATGTGCTCACCACTCCTGGCAGCTCGTCTGCATCTTGCGTCCAGTTGCCAGCATGGTGCCGTAGCGGTTACTAATTGTCGCAAGCACTTGTACTACTATTTGATATTACAGTACGGTCCATATTCGCCTTATCTCCACGAGGCACACTAACCGCAGATTTGGCAGCCGTCGAATTGAGAGTGAGTTAGATATGTTTGAATTCTCAAGGCCTGAAAGCGCATAGATAAACATTTCTTTGTTGAAGAAACATTATCAACGTAACAAGTAGCGAGATACGGAAGGCACAGGCTTACGAGTTGGCTGAAAATGGAATAACGGACGGTGGGTGACGCAATGTCGGTTATCATTTGCGCCATTTCAAGTTATTTCTGCTCATTTCAGGGCTTCTGTTTTCTTCTCTACACGACCACATCGACCGATAGTCTTGTCATGACTGTCGGTGCTCAAGATGAAAGTGCTCCTCTGCTTCCCGGCAAGATAACTTGGTATAATTGGCGCTTTCTGGACCGGCTGGAGAAGGTTTACAAGAGGAATACTGGCTTCCTCCTCATCGCCGCCGCCCAACTTGGCTTTTCCGCCTCCGATGTTTGCGTACAGGAATTGAACAGGCTTGATCACCCAGTTCCGACACTCCAGGTTAGCCCATCCTTGTTAAATGCATAGCCTTTTCCATTATTCGACTCTTTATGTAGCTGATCGTTCTTCGTATGGTATGCTCACCTGTCTGATCACATCTGGCAACCTCATGAATTTGGGAGACTATAACTTACGTGTGTTGCCTAATGACCATGTTATGGGCAGGCATTCCAGAGCCTTTTCGAGGACCAGAGGGCACTCGTACTATGCTTGTATTTCGCGGACTTTGCGGGTGCGTTGGCTTCTTGTCATCGTATACCCCGCTGATCTCTTTTCTCTTAGCTTCGTAGGTATCCTTGGCGTGTATTACTCACTCAAATATCTATCTCTCTCGGAAGCCACTGTCCTCACTTTCTTAACACCCTTTACAACAACCATATCAAGCGCAATTTTCCTTGGAGAGACCGTGACCGTAGGATACTTGGTGGCAGGCTGTAAATTTAACTTTCGGTCCAGAGTATAGATCTGCTAATAATCGCACGTAATAGCATTCTGCATCTTTGGTGTCGTTTGTATCGCGCAACCTGACTTTCTTTTCGGAAATCTACCTCCTGAAGGATCTGTAGATCCCAGGCTTCGTTTATTCTCAGTTGTGTGCGTCCAATGATGTGCTGATAACATCTTCAAATCTCTAATGCTGATACAATACACATACAGTGCCGGCTTAATAGGAGTTTCTGGGGGCACGGCTGCTTGTGAGCTCAAACTTTCTTGCTTTTGTTACATATTCATTATGGCTCTCAAGTCACTATAATTCGCGCCTTGGGCTCTCGTGTGCATGCACTTCACTTGCTAGCTTCATTTTCGCTACAGTCGGTCATCGCTGCAGGAATTGGGTAGGTGTCTCAAATTTTCGATTTTTATTTTCATAATACGGCTCCGGGCATGTAGAATGATCATTCTTGGAACACCCATCGTAATTCCGGTGCAGTGGAAGTGGGGCGCCGCACTCTTTGCGATTATCGGATTTTCCGGGTTTGTGGCACAGGTATTTTTCCCCTGCCTTAAACTGAAATAAGCTCATCTATCTTTAATGTAAAAGACATTACTTACGATGGGTCTCCAACGCGAGACAGCGGCCAGGGCCACAACTGCTGTCTATACACGGGTCAGCGCATTTCATCCGACCAATTGTCACAGGATCCTGATCGTTTTAGATCATCTTTGCCGTCATCTTCGAATATATGTTTTTCGAGTTCACTCCCAACTCGTGGTCAGTTACTGGAATCACGATCATTGTGACGGCTGCAGTATACGTTGCGGTTCGTGTCGGCCGGATTGAAAGCGCGTTTTACTAACTGCATATCTGACAGTTGTCGAAGCACAAGGACGCAAGGGAGCCAGTTATAGATGAACCAGAGCCTGTAGAGGTTCGTAGCGTGTAGGGGATAATCCGCGCTGATGGCTCGATGTCGAAGAACAACAGCGTTTTAGTAATAGCGTGAGTGTATGTACAGTCATATGTACCTCCAATCCAGGGAATTCAGCGGCAGTGACAGGGTTTTACTTGCACCATCAACCTTCGGTGCCTTCAGTTCTTTGCCTGCCTAATGGCGAAGACCCCCGACTCATCCGGTAACGCAGTGTCGGTTTTTCTATATCATCTGCGCTTTCTCTCCTATGCTTTCCTCGTCTCTGCCATTTTGACGCCCATCAATCCGTTACTCTAATCCCTTTTGGTCATGATTATTGGTGCCCAGGATGAAAGTGCTCCCCTACTTTCCACCAAGAAAGGCTTAGACGACTGGCGTTTCTCCTTTCATCAAGCGTACAAGAGGAACATCGGTCTCCTTCTCATCACTGCATCACAGTTAGCTTTTTCCATGGGAAATGCTTCCGTAAAGGAGTTGAACAGACTGGAAAACCCAGTACCAACGCTTGAGGTGAGCATTTTGTACAATATCTTTGAATTATATTTATAATTGAATCGTTATTGCGCAGTTGGTTGGTGCGCATATGGTGTGTATGTTTGGCCAACCCTCGCTTCGGTTTTCCTAATGACTTCAACCGCAAAGTTCGTCACTTATCTGGGCTGCATACTCGTCATGTTATGGGCAGGAGTTCCTGAACCTTTCAGAGGACCAGAAAGTGCTCGGAAATTGCTCGTCGTCCGTGGGCTTTGCGGGTATAATGTCTTCCTTTTCATCGCCGATTACGCAGTGTTCTTACTCTTTTTCTACGCAGCTTCGTGGGTGTCAGCGGTGTTTATTACGCCCTGAAACATTTGTCGCTATCGGAAGCCATTGTTCTGTCATTCCTGGCGCCATTCGCAACAGCTATCTCCGGTTCGATATTTCTGGGGGAAACTTTGTCTGTGGGGCATATCGTAGCTGGCTGTATGTCTCAGGAAGCCGGAAATCGTGTCTTGATTCTCTTGCTGACAACTGGGCAGTACTCAACATTTTCGGTGTCATTTGTATCGCGCAACCTGTACTTCTGTTTGGAAAGTCGCCAGCGGAAGGGACCGAAGATCCGGAATTCCGTTTACTGGCAGTAGGGTGTGTGAATTGATGCTTTTTACGGCTGCCTGGACCTGAGTTAGTTGATAGCATGTCTTTACTAGGCGTTATGGGGAGTACAGGCGCTTGTAAGCTATCTTCTGACTTGCAGTCGCTCTGTGCTCATATTGTTCTCGAAGTCACAGCAATCCGTGCCATCGGCTTTCGTGCACACGCGCTCCACTCTTCAGCTTCGTACTCGCTGCAATGTGTCATAGCTGCGAGCATCGGGTAAAGAGTTCTAGACCATTTCTCTCTCCTCATTCTCATGGCGGGTAGAATGGTCGTAACCGGTACCCCAATCGTTATCCCTACACAGTTGAAGTGGGGTATATTGTTTGCGATCCTCGTTTTAACTGGCTTTGTCGGACAGGTATGCTATGGCATTCATATTCATCTCAAATGGGGGGTTGATCATCTTTCTTTTTGCAAGGTGTTCCTTGTGATGGGTTTCCAGCGTGAAACGGCAGGGAGGGGAACGACAGCTCTGTACACTCAAGTAGGTAATTTTTATCATTATCTTTAAATAAGGTCCTAATAAACCTTCTAGATTGTGTTCGCAACGATTATCGAACGCATTTTCTTCGACTACACTCCGAACACGTGGTCGGCCATTGGGATTACTGTTATTATGTTGGCGGCAATCTATGTTGCGGTGCGTGTTATCGAAATTTCACACTGTTGTTGTACTACTAACACCTCGGCAGATGTCGAAGCGTCAGGAGAATCCTAAAGACGAGCTTATAATTCACAATGCTCAGAGAGCATCAATGACAGGTACTCGGTAACTAGACAACAACTGAAAGCATTCGTAACATTGACATATCGGATTCTGAGTACATGCTCCTGAGTTGTTAAAGTAGAACTATGGAGCAATTGCATTAAACCTTTATTGATTTCTCCGTTGCGAGGGATACCCATACATTTATTCTGAAGTCGATACCATTTCCTTGGAATCGTGATGGGAAGAGTCGTGCGATGACGGAGCAATCGTGACCTTGCTGAATGGCGTGACTGAAGTTTCAAACAGTGTCGATATTTCTTCCAAGGTACGGCCCTGGTACCAAGTCGTCAGTTGTAAACAAGGCTTTTCTCGTAAGGGACGTACTTTTGTTTCATGAAAGGTGAAAAACACTTGAATGAATGAAGCGACACAGAAAGTTCCAAATACGAGGTACGTTCTGATAATCATGTTTATTCTCTGACAGTATAGTAGTCATCACGGTGAAATAAACTTACTTCCACTGGATGTCTTTGAAAGCTGGAGGAACGAAGAAGGACAGAGCAAAATTCATGATCCAGTTGGTCGCTGAAGCATCGCGGTTAGAAGGCCCGCGAGAAGGATCCATTGGAAGAGAAGCACAGACCCGTTGCAAGACCAGACCCTTGTGCTCGTACGGGGCGAGGAAATATCTCTGAAACATAAATCCAAGAGACCGGCCCCTGTCAGGGAGATAAGAACACCACGGAGCACAAAATCAAATGACAAATATACCCATGTTATCGCAAAAGAAGCCACGAAAAGGTAGCTGCATGCGATGACGCCTTTGGACGGTGGACCGGAAACAGACCATCGAACATTCGCGTTGCCATCGACACTGTCAACGTAGTGGCCGTAATTGGCGAGTAAACCGGCCGTTGCAAAAAGAAATGCCGCCATGAGGGCAGATCCTACGAGGAGGGTTGGCCGACGGCCCCATTTATCGACCCATATGAGGGCTGGGATCGTCATGGCGAAATTTATCACGTATTGCTACTCAAGAAGATGAGGAGGGCAGGATGTATGTTGACGGTGGGAAGGACTTACGATTGACGAGGAAATCAGATTTGTGTTTCCCGTGAGGCCGGCCATCTGGAAGACATAAACGACGTAGTACTGGCAGGGGGTGAGAATTTGGAGGTGAATATGCAAGAAGTAATATACCATCATAACGTTCACGCCACACAGCTGGCTGTAAGGAGAAAACTAAAGTAAGTAAGCGACAAGCTGGGAATATGGGTGGACATCCCTCCAGAGTTGACAGGCCATGCCGGCGATGGTTCGGGACAGGAGCTTCTTCTTGAACAAGTCGACATATCCGATCTCGGCGGATTCCTTTTCGATACGTATGGCTTCGCGGATCTCGTCTATTTGCAGTTGTACCTCAGCCGAATCGATGGGCAGATTGTGTATCTTCGCAATGACTTGTTCTGCTTCCTCCATGCGACCGCGGGCCGCAAGCCAGCGACAAGACTCGGGACACAGGGGCATAAGAAGACCAAGGAGAGCGCCAGGAACAATCTGTAGACCCCATGCTAGAGCAACATGTCAACCTTCGAGCACTTGCTTCACAGAGTTTAAGGTAATTGGCTCACCCAGTCGAAAGGCTCCGACACCATTTATGAAGCTGCAACCATAACTGACATAGAACATCACTAACGTCAGAAATATCAGTGCGTGAGACATTAAGAGAAAGTTAATTCACCAAGGATGCCAACGGTGATTGCAATTTGCTGAGTACCAACAAGACGACCGCGGATAGCCTAAAAACAGTTCTAGGATGTCATGCCATGCGCGGGAATCAGGAATATACTTACCCTAGGCGATTGTTCCGCAAGGTATACGGGAATTTGACCCGACGTCCATCCAACACAGATACCTTTGATAAGTCTTCCAACGACGAGCATCGCAACGTTTTGAGCGGCGCAACTGAGGATACACCCGATAGTCCAGCATAATGTGGAAAGAATGATAGACTTCTTGCGTCCCAGACGATTAGATACGGGACCAGCGACGAGGGCACCGAGGAATGCGCCCGCGGGCATAGCCGCCGTTATACCACCTTGGGTAGTGTCATTGGGATGGTCGAAGTAGATTAGGTATGAATCGACGTTTAAAAAAGCAGAGACAGATGAGATGTCTATATAGGACAGATCAACGTCTTGACAGATAATTTTCGACGCAGTGCATGGTTACCTGTACCAAACAGAAAGCCGCCCAAAGCACTGATCGCTGCGATGGCATACGGATTGTATATAGCGAGCATTTAACTGTCGAGATAACAATCGTAGAGCAAAGATCAACGGTGAGAGATGGGAAGCAAAGAAAACTGCTTCGACGTGGATATCGATTGTCCTTAAAACACTTTGGACATCCGAGTGCCGTTCCAAAGTGGATGCGCCCCAAGAAGCTCGTGGAGGGGCATTTGCTGCATCGCACATGACACCGAATGCTCTAGAGCTCCGAGAAGGTTGCTGTTCTCTTTGTCTTATGCTTTCAGCCACATGCAAGGTGGTACCGAGGCCCGGGTCCACGAATTCCTTCGAAGGTACGCATACGTAGGGGCTTGAGACAAGCGAGGGTAAACGAAGCTTGATGGTTCTTTGTTTTAAGGAGCCACTGCTTGACGTCGAAGCTAGTAGGAGAATCCGGGCATCTGTTTCTTGATTGGAAAAGGAGACGTCAACCGTACTGCAGCAGACAGTTACCCAGGTACTATGGTTCCGAACCATCCGCGAACCATCCGCGTACTTACAACCTCCCAGATCATTTAATTTCGGAGAAAGAAAGACAGGTGTGACCTTTGTCAATGTTAGAAGGACCCTAGATGAGAACATCAGACCCACCTAGTTCCAAGCACCACGTCGCCCGGATCCCAGAAGATGTCACATACCCTTTCTGCTGTTGATTCGCAGCTGCTAACATACATATCGTTGGTAATATTATACGGTGCTAGTACTCAGTAGACTTGAAATACGATACAACCAAGATAAATCCTCTTCCAAGTTGGCAAGGCTATTCAAGTTAGTTAAGCATGGGACTCGGGGCCTTGCAGATCAAGTTCCCGTACAAGCGAGCACCAAGAGGGTTAGATGATTCCAGATAAATATCGAGTAGTGGACCTTGGTGATTATGGTGGTAGGAGATCAAGTGCCGACATTTCTCCGTGGTCACGGTGTCCAACCCTTTTTGTACATGCCTGCCAACATAGTTTGAGTCTGTGCCGAGTTAGGATCTAGTAATCTTTTACGCATTCGCTGATCATGCTGATCATGCACGAGGTAGGATTAAATGTGAGGAGACGGACTCTTGTCAATTCTATATCTACTTCGAGTTTCGAGTGTCAGAGTAGTTTGATGTTCTATGTTCGCCAAGAGATCAAGCTACGTTGCGATAATCATCGGCTTTTGTTCATCACTGTGGTCATCAACTTAAAGCGTCTCTATTGTCCGACGATTCTCCCGTTTAATTCTTGAATACTCGAGCGACGAGCTGAAGGATCATTTTGCCCTTACGCGATGCAACTATGCCCGTCCTTTTATCCGCGACGATTGATCCCAAGAGGTCAAGCTATCCAAGTCCTCCCTCCGAACCCTCATGGGACTCCGAGTCGGAGTAGTTATATCTGCCCAATTGTACAACACGTAGCAATTCTAACGCGAATACTTATATCTCGGTCTCTCTTGTCTGCTGTCAATAGGGCTTGATGTACATATTTTTGGACACTCTTTCCTCTGTAGGCGGTCGCAGCTGAAGTTAACTCAAAGGGAAGCCGTTCGTGATGATGCTCTAGTATCGACAATACTGGATATTTTTGACATATTACTATGATTCTGATACGTCGATAGGCAGTTTTCGTTGGTATATTCCCGCCTCCATGGTAGCTTTCAACTAAGCCGGATCTGTTCATCTCTCTCTCCCTCGCTCGTCGCCTCTGACCGATTGTCATGCATGGAGGATGATGCGCTCAACTTCGTCCCATCGTTTCCCACCCTCGATATTTGTTAGGAATGGGAAAATACGATCTAAATATCTCGCAACACAGGCAGGTTGTTGGATCGGTACATCAGTTGGAGAAAATGCACGTAGCCTGTGCCTGCGAATCTTGGGAGGCGAAAGCGTGGCACTGTCAGGAAACGCAATAGGCAGGGTAAGACATGCGAGATGACGGCAGTGTTCTGCTAGCACCGGCAACACATCGCATGGGGGAGGTATCGCCAACCGAGGGATACAGATGGTTTCGATACCTGGCCATGCTGTAACGAGCTTCTCCTCGACCAACTTCTGATCCATAGCGAGGTTACCGGAATAATGAAGCGCCTTGAGTGGTGGCCCAAGTCCATAAAGCGGTTCGAATACGACTCGTGAAGCCTCCCAGTCCTCTTGGCCGATTGTCCAGTGTCGGTATGTTAACGAGAGCGAGTGCAGACTCAAGTTGAATCTCTCGACGAGTTCGACATGGAAATGCTGCATGGCCACACATGCGTAATGGTAGCTCTGGACGAAGGAGTTGTCAATGAAAGTGAATGATTCAAGAATGTCTGGGACGACGAGTCTGAGTACGCGGCTCATAGATGCTACGTCCCCGGTAACATGCAGAGTCTTTAGGACGGAAAATCCGTCTCGAATGTCGTGAGAGTGAGACAAGGTGTGGGTGCCGAAGATGAATTGGAGGTGCTTGAGTGACTCAGAGGAGGAAAGCTCCTCGAGGAAGGAGTAGGTCGCGGGGTGAGATGTGATTTTTAGGCAGCAGAGGTCTTTGCCAGTGAAGAAAGTAGCGGGGCACGCCCGGTCGATAAAACTCTGAGCGACATCATAACCGGCATGAGTTGTCAATGGACCAGAAAGAATAAACGTCTCACGTCCGGCGACCGCAGTCCTCACAGACGTTGACAAAGTGTCGTTATTCACAATGGATTCCAGGATAATTTCGACCTCCTGCAAATTGGGGCTCGATAGTAGAAAGAGAATTTGGGGCTCTGAGGCAAAGGATGGATCTACTTCCAAGCGCTTCAGGCTGCTGAATAAGGGAGCGTTTGAAAACTGAGCCATGAGTCGAAGGTAGACCGATGGATGGTCTCTGGTGCCAGAGGATGCATCCAGCGTCATGGATCGAACACGCTGGGCATAGCGCTCGAATCGGTCCCATTTCGACTGCGGTACCTCTATGGGAATCGTCTGCCAACATTAATGTGCATTAGACACGTTCAGGATATCCTCAAAGTTTGTGCTTACCCAAATGCTGCTTCCATTGTTCGTCCTGGATGTCCTTGCATTGAAGACCCGTAATAATGGAGTGAAGCCATGGATATGTTTCCAGAGACGGTCAAGAGCAGTCTCGGATACCGAGGTGCATACTGTAGCCAATGAAACCAAGGGATTCGGCTTGGCTCCATAGGAAGATGACTGAATGGAAGCCCAAAGCTCTTCGCAGATAACGCTCAGTAGATCTGGATTATAGAGTACCGCAGAAAGGGAGCTGGAGTCCATATCAAAAATATGGGCTTTTCGAAATGCATGGCGGTCCTTAAAAGACGGGTACGAGCGCTTAACTTAAGCGCCACTAAAAACGAGGTGCAACGCTAAAATGACTCGAAGATTCATTTGAGGATCCGCGAGCGAAGAGAATCTAGCGCTTGGGATCATTGCCAACGTTTCGGATGTTGTCTAGCATCAGAAAAGGATTAGGCAGCTGAGCATGCAATGAACACGAAAAAACCTTACCCTTTCTTCAACCCTGAGTCGACATCATCTAGCGATAGTCAATTAAAAGAGAAGAAACACTGATATCCCAATTTAGATCAGTCTTGTCCCGCTATGTCTCCCTTGCAATAATGTTTAGAGTCATTCTTCGAGACACAAATTGACGATGTATGGACCCACTACTTCATGCGAGCTGGAAGCGCCGAGAAGTTCTCCATTTACTCTGGGCTGGATGGATTTTCTAGTATGATCTAGCACCGAGAGGTTTAGATAGCTCCAGACAATCAAATAGACATTCTGTGGGATATAGGGGCCTGGATGGCCGGCTGACATTGAATCATAGGTGGGAGGTCACCGGTCACCAGTCAAATTCAGCAGTTCGGTCCGATCTTGCATCCCCTCACTACCTTGCTTATTACCATTGTTGAGGCCATTTCAACTTCTTGTTGAAGAACTCATCTAGATCATCTTCATCCATGAGACCAGGATGTTTGACCCAGGAATTCAGGATGGTTTGACTGCTGGTAGTCTTAGGTAGATTCTGCAGACAGCATATAGTGCTGCTTTGTCATGTTCAGACCACTATGTGCAAACATTGGTGAACAAGTAAGGGTTGTTCAGGGTTAATGCACGATTGATTTGACTTGTCCTTCTGAATTTCATTCATGCCTTGATACTTGTTGTTTCTTGCACTCTCTTATTATATTGTCTTTTATGGTTGTCTTAGGTCTTTTCCCTTTATATATATACAGACTGATGAGCAGTGGCTGCACATGCAATCAAACCCATTCTACTGGCATGTTCCTATGCCCACTAGTATTCCAATCCTTGCACTGTGGCTTCTGTTCTGTCAGTGGACAGATATAGATATTCAATTTGGCCATGTCTATACTAGGGGTCCATAGGCATATGACTCACAGCTATTTCAAATTATACTGTGCCTCAACCTTAGCTTCAGTTAAGGTCTTGAGGTTCATTGGCTGCAAAAATAAACAAAAAAAAGGGCTTGGATGTCTGCTAGTCTCTCTCTGGGAAATGTACCTCTTGCAATCTTTCACAGATAATATATGCTCCTACTGTGGCATTGGGTGTCTATCCTTGTATGGTTGGCAGAAGCCACATAGCTGATGGCAGTCAGCTTTCCTGTAGTAACCGTGCAAATGTGCAAATGTACAGGATAGTCTCCATCCTGAATTGAACTGTGATCAGACATGTTGTATTAGGATCATGCATTAGGTCAGGAGATAGAGCATTCCTCCAATAGGAACCATAATTTCCGGGGAACCAGGCAGAGTTCCGTCTGCTTGTCAATGGAGGGAATCGAGTCATCCTCTACCTCTTCCCTTCAATGGTACAAGCCTTGTGCACCAGGAATGACTAAGGCTTATTGGATCTTGCCGCGTTTTCCGATGGGTATAAAAGTCACTTTGATGTCAGTCTCTTCGTCACTCACATCTCTAGAAGTTAGTATTCAGTATGTATAATGAAGTTTAGAGTTGTAACTACTCGAATGACATTCTCGTGTGAAACCAAGGAAAGCTGGTCAAAGAGCTTGTAACTAGCTCAGCGTACTAGCGAGTGAGGGCCAGCTCATACGGTGGCATTACCGAGTCCTATGTTCATCACTCTCAGTCTCTGCAGCGGCTATATAAGGCATCAGGTTCTTTTCCGCCCGGATCTTTATTCATATCGACGTCGTAAACGCACCTTCCCGGGCCGCTCGCCTTCCTTGGATAACTGAGGAGTGTAATGCGCTGAGCGAGAGACCGGAGGCATATAACTGTCGTATAAAAGGGCGTAAAAAGAGCGACTGTAAAACGAACGAGATGAATAGGAAGATTGAGCAGATGGCGGTTGAGGAGAGGTGAGTGAGATCAGCCTCTGTATGTAAGTCGGCCCGATGTTCCCACGTCGCAGAGTTCGCCGCTGTCAGCAATCTTTCTTTCAATCCACCATGGGCCTCACTCTCGAACTTGGAACTCCCATCAATACTGCCCTCTTCCTCTTCATATTATATTCCGTCCAGCGCATCGTCTTTCCATCCCCCGCTGCTGCCGCTAAAGGTGCTGTTCCAAATGAGTTCAAGGGCGGCTACTCGTGGATGCCCAAGTACCACCCGCCGACTGTGATTTTCGAGAACTTTACGCCAAAGACGCTGCAACCTTTCAATGGCAAGGATAACGAGAGGATGCTGTTGGCGATCAATGGAATCGTTTTCGATGTTACCGCAGGAAGGAGTTTCTATGGTCCTGGTGTGTCGGTTGTTGGATCTGTAGCGTGTCATGGCTGATTGAAGCGTTTAGGCGGGATGTATGGAAATTTTGCGGGACGCGATGCGTCAAGGGGGATGGCGAAGCAGTCGTTCGATGTTGGTGCGTGGTCCTCGTGCATGCTTCTTGTGATCTTCGATTACCAACTGCTTTTGACAGAGATGCTTACACCTGTTGACCAGTCTCTGGACAAGCTCGAGGATCTCAAACAGGACGAGATGTATGTTTACCGCCACAGATGGAATACAGACTAATCAGTGTTTGAACAGCGACAACATGAAAAGCTGGATCGACCACTTTTCAAACAAATACATCATCTGCGGCAAACTCGTAGAGAATGACGCTGCCTAAATACTCTGAATATGCTAGATTCACCATTGTATCAACAAAGCTCAGCGAATCCTTTTTCTACATTATCCCCTCCATTACTGTGAGAAACGCGAGCGGGACGGCTGGAATATCCCTGTACCCGGTTCTCTGTTGTTTCTCTGGAGTAAAGATGCATCAGTGGTTCCTGGCTGCTTTCATAAAGCTTGTGCTTTTTATTTCTCTCTTCAATCCGCCTCTACTGAGTGGGCATCGCTTCACGGCAGATCTGTCTATCGCCATTCGATATATCTGAGGTTTCTGAAGTCTACTGTCAATATCGAATGCCTTCTTCCGAATCTAATCGGTGTATTTCTGGTGCAAATGTCGTGGATTCCTCGGCTGAGCTCGGCAGCTGTATCTTCTATGCCATGGGGAAGTCAAGTTCTTTGCCGGCGTCATGCAGAGGATACCGCCTGACCTTTTTTGAACATCCGGGCCAACGACTCTCTGACGAATGTCTGTTACCGCTGGTTAAATTTCCGCCAATTACTTCGGGATAAAATGATAATTCGGGTTCCAAGGTAGATCTCAGACACGTAACTATGACTGCCATGATGGGGGCCGGACAGCAACGATGAACAGGACTCAGAAATATCATGACCATCTTTGATCCTATCTTTCTGAATCCGTTCAACAGATGACACCTTGGACCTGCAAAGTCAACATTGAGTTGTTCATCTCTCATTACTATAATCCCTTGTTGCATTAATCGCGCAAGGTAGGAACGTAGGCCGTTGGAGCCTCGGTTCAGTCTTGAATCGAAGGTTGAGTTCTATATAACACGAGAACCTGTAGGAGAAACATAGTTGTTGTTCACAAATGTCCCTCACCGACGATGACATTCATGTCATCTTTGAAAGTTTAGACGTGTATCTTAACACTAGGATACTACAGGCGCTCACACATGGTGAGTTTCATAGTCTCCGAAGTCAATCTTTTGATATCTGAGCCTGTATAGGACTCTACACTGGTATCCTGATTGTCACGTTCTGGAGTATCTGTATGTTCTCTCCCATTACTCTCTGAGCTATACCTTACCACTCTCCGGTCATAGTTAGATCTACAAAAAACTCCACCGTTGGAAGATGCATCATGGTCCTCGCCATCTCTTCCCTCTACGTTCTCGCCTCCGTTGCGCTAGGCGAGGTTTGGGCATTCACGCACCACGCATTCATTGATGAAGGTCAAAACTGCTATGCCGTATACTCGGAATTGTATGGATTTAGTCCAATGTCGACCCAAGCAACGTTAGCAGCTGGTATCACCTCTTGTATCAGTACAGTTATTGCTGACTCCTCGCTGGTTGGTAGCAAAAACAACCGGTCTTTCATATAAGATCACTGATCATTGCTCCGATTTACGTTTATCAGATCTGGCGGTGTTGGATCCTCTGGGGGCGTCGATGGCTCGTCGTTGTCATCCCCATCCTTTGTACTGTTCTAGGCACAGGTAATCATTTTTAAATTTGACCGTGGTCAAAAGTAAACCTTTCCGCAGTGTTCAAAGCCATCGAGTCATATCACACTTGCTTCGAAAGCACCGCCGATAATAACGACGATTCTTTCGATTATAGTGGCGGTGTCATTGATTGGATGATGTCCTACCTTGCGTTTACGCTCACCACGACACTTTGGTGCACCATCTTCCTACTGTACCGCATTATGAGTGTTGCAGGGTCCAGTCATGGACCAGGAATACGCTCCTACCGCGGAGTTCTTGAAGCGCTTGTTGAATCAGCGACCCTCTACGCCATTGCACTGATCATCGACATGGTATTCGTGGCTTGTAACCTGGTGAACGGCTACTATGTCGACGTTTTGACCGCTGCTATAAAGGTCTGTCTACTGGAATATGGAAGATGACAATTGAAATGTACTTACAGGGAATTGCACCGACGCTTCTGGTCGGACGCGTCGCAGCGGGACATGCACGACCAGATGACTCGGCGCAAGAGAGTACTCGCACAGTATCCTCTCTTAATTTCGGAGCTCGTTCTCTTTCAACGATGCAGGAAGCTCAAGTTACGCGGAGTGCTGAACTTGATGAGATCGATAACATGGTGGAGCGAAACATTGCTTCCATGGAAGGAGACCAAGAGGCAGGACCATTGGATCTTGTGTGAAGGTTTGTGTGCATGTAGTATAAGACTAGTGATTAACCGAGCTTCGAGTTTCGTTCAGGGAATTTGAAAGAAATGTGTAGTTTTCCTATAGTATCGAAGAAACCTGGTTCCAGTTGTTACCCGTACTTTGTGGTTTCTGTCCAATGGCAGGAGGTGTCTTTAAACCCCCCAAACACTACACTGTTGAGTCTATACGACCGATGCCAACATATTCTCTTCCGTAGACGGCCAATCTTAGCATCTTCACGGATCTTCATCTCTTTCCTGCCAGTGCGGCTCGGAGCTTGTTTAATAGGTGCATAATCGATAGACTCTTGGTGCTAAACGTCGCTTGTAACGTTGACAAGCACAATATTAATGTCCGAGTCCATTCTCGAAACATGACAATATGCAAATAAGCTTATACATGATATTATACATTGAGTGGGTTTCTGGGTATTCCAGACCTCCATTTCTCCAAGTACTCTCTGTGATCTGCCTCCTCCTTGGCACGTCTTTCCTGTGCTGCCTTCGAGTTACCCCAGAAAAATAGCATAACATCGTGCTCATCCCAGATGTCCTGAGCCTCTGATTCTACAGCCGTCGCTGCACTAGTCCCCCCTTCATTCCTTCCTCCTGCCTGCTCCATTCCAGCTCCAGCTCCCTCTCGCTCTTCCTCCCGCCTCCGCTTCTCACGCTTCTTGATACTGACGCTACGAACATGTTTTGCCTTCGATGGCCCCATTGGCGCCGGGGTAGGTACTGATGGGCGGTTAGGCTGGTGATATTGGATGAGAACAGCAACGTTCTTGCCCCAATTCTTCACGGCAGCGGCTCCATACCTATAATGTAGCAAGAGTCTGGCAGGCTTTTGTCGACGGTTCGCAAAAGTGGCATCATTGTTGTTAGGAGTTCGCTCCAGAGTAGATCTACTGCTTGGAGTAGTGATCCACTGAAGTGTATATCGAGAATCAGGCGGGTAACTGACATCGTCTGCTAGCTGACGCTGGTGGCGATCAGGGATATCGGTGGTTTTCAGGATAGGATTTGGAGTCTGATGTAAATGAGAAAAGATAAGAAGGAAAAAGAAAAGCAGACGAACGGCAAGCACGGCAACCTTCTGTTGGTCAAAGAAATGGACATGAATCTCAGCAGTGGCATAAAAACCGTTGCGAATATCATTGATGCTGCGCAGCGTCGTCAGATTCTCTTCGTTTGGCCGGTTCTCGATGATGAGTTGTATCCACTGTAGGAAAAACCAAATTAAGTGGCATGGAAGGGAATAATACGTGGACATGCCTCATCGCCTCGTGCATAAGGAATAATATGCATCCCAACCCCTTCATCAATGCCGGTCCACACACATCGACCATCGCGTTTTAGCACCTTCTCACGAAAGTTTTCGCGGGTAGCTGTAGTTGCGGAGTGCGTATGCGTTCGCTGTTTGATGACCCCGGGGTCAACGGCGTGAGAGAGGATGTTTCCATCAGGCACATCGTATCGGTAGACTCCCCGATCCACCAGCTCGCCGTTCAATTCTACCGCAGCCCCAGTCTCATCAACCAGGCTCCCACTAACGCCTAGGACACACCAGCCAATATACCGAAGATATTTTAACGGGTATAGACAGACCGTCGTTGCGATTCGCATAGGAACTTCCAAGTAAAACGAATCTTGAGGCAATAAAAGGAGCTGAACAAAGCCTGGCGGCGGTGGCGGGCGAGGCATGTGGACGATGGTGGTGGTCGGAACCAAGTCGTACCATGAAGGATTCACTAAGAGCTGGCTTGGCTGGGTAGTGAGTGGCTTTGCCAAGATTGAAATATAAATGATAATCCTTTCTCACTCCTTCCCATGACGAAATAGACCAGCACTTGGCACCGCAAGATATCAGATCCTTTTTTTGTTCAACTGAACCCAGGACCTCAGGTGACGAAAATGTACAGTTTATATGCAGGCTGGCAGGTATCATATATCAGTGCACTGAAATCCTTTCGTGTGTCTGCATCTTTTAGCTTGGAAACCCAAAACGCATCAGGCTGACAGACTACACGCTAGTGCATGGGCCATACCGGCCGAGAACAATGCAACAATAGTCTCAGAAAGGCCACCGCTGCTTTATTGTTTCTGTTCCGATCCGCGCCCCTCTTTATTCCTTTGTTCTGCTTGCTACAATATATAAGACAGACAGGGCGTGAGCTGTTTCTCCACACAATCCTTCCCTCCACCAACGTACTAACAATGTCTATCTCCGAGTTAGAGTTCGCCGAACTAACCGACAAGGCCCTTATTTCAGACTATGTCGCCGTGAGTCTCGTCTCTTGGACCTCGTTCAATCTCTCTAATCTCTATCTGCCAGGCTCATAATATACCTCACACCGTCGCATTCCATAGGGGCACCTTTGATTCGTATAATCTGCCTGCAATCACGAAGCGTCTCTTCCCCGCAACATCCAATCCTGTTCCAATTCCATTACTTGCCAATCATGTGTGGGTGGCACAACTCGACGGAAACTGGAGACTTGAGCGGTACTCTACCGCCGAGACATTTCCTGACCCGCCTGAAGGTGATGTCGAAGAGAATGATTCGGTTCCTACGTTGAACTATTACCCGCCTGACGGCCTCCCAGTCAACTCTAGCGTTGACCTGCTCGATGAGGCCCGCAAGCTAGAAGATGGGAGGTCAGAGGTACACGGCACGCTGGCGGAGCTGAGGACGGCGGTCTCAAAGGCCACCCTCCTATACACGCAGGCCAGCCTAGCTCTAGAAGAGGAGAGAGCGAAGACTGCGTCGCTCATGACGCTTGTTACAAGCATCTGTGGGAAGGCGTACACGGAGAAGATCATGCGGATAGTGAATTTGGTAGATACCAATGATGATGCTAGCGATCAAGAGAGCGGCGGCGAGCCTGGTGGCAACATCAAAAGTAGCAATAATTTCACCCAGAAAAAGATCCAGCCTTCTCCGTAAGTACTTGTTCGCCATGTATATCTCTGCTTCAATTCATGATTTGCATCAAGGTGGCGAGCTGGGGTAAATAAGGCGCAGTTCGGAGATCTGGATTGGGCGTGTGTTTCTTCTCCATACCTTGACATAACCTTGTCTAACGGACAACAGGACAAAGATGAAGGGAGCCTCAGACGCTTTGATAGAGGACGTGTATGCGGTACTGATGCCTCCTCCAAAGTATGTCATTCGCTTTGTTGTGTCCACGGTGATAAATGTCAACAGTTTCCTTCCCCGTAGGACCACCAATGATACAGGACAGTCTGACGCGTCAGATGCCTCGAGTTCGACAGAAAAATCTCCTCGAAAGCGCCCCCGTTCCTATGAAGACGAAGACGCGTGTACCAGTCCCAAGCGGGTCAAAACCGGTGTCGAAGAAGGAGGTCACGCAGAAGCGCAAGTCGAGTCTTCCCGCGCCGCCGCATTGCAAGGACAGAACCGTCCCCGACTCAGAGAAGGCTCTCTTGATGACATATACATAAATACCAGTCTCAAACGCCAAATTATTGAAGAACGCTTTCCCGTTGATTTGGACGAAGAACCGTTGAATGCTGGTACGTCCGACAGTCCTCGCTTTCCAGTCAACCTCCTGATTCCAATTTTCTTCCCAAACAGGCCCTCAAGAATCTCGAAGACCAAGAAATGTATCCTCCCTGCGAAGCCCACAGTCCCGTAGCTCCTCTCCCACAGGCATCAGACAATTCTAATTCCGATCCCGAGGACTGCAACTCGGGTTCAGATTTGGACTCATCAAGCCCCCCAGATCATGGAACAAAGTCTTCGAGAACGGAGTCTCTGCTGCGATAGTGTGGCGCACCAACCCCCCTACTCCCCCCCTCTGCGGCTCCGGCCGAGGAGTCCGTCTCTGCGAGAAGGCCAATTTTCACGCCAACCCAACCTCCTATCCTCTGTCATCCTCATCAGGCTCAGGTCTTAACGCAAGCAGACCTCCCCAGGCAATTTATATGGGATAGGTATCTACGAGCGAGAAGACAGGACGCCAAGCAGCTCAGCTGAATATCCGTCAATCATTGAGAATTTTTTCGACATGAACTCGTTCTATGAGAAGGAGCCCTACTCCACGTTTTCCCTGTACTCAGAGAAGAAGACAGTGGAACATTTGTCGGCTCACAATGTGGATCGTAGGCGCGTTTATGACATACATTTAACAGACGAGTGGGTGGAGGAGTATTGTGACAGGCATTTATTGCAACCGAGTCCGTACGAATAGTGAACAACAAAATAATATCTTGGGTATTCTTGCGTATCTTGTAGAATGTCATTGCGGAAAATGGAGCCAGGACTTTGATTACTGCGTCGTAAGAAGGCCCAAGGATGTTGAAAACCCACCTAAAATACTACAACAAACATTTTAAATATTACATTAATAATCGGCAAGTCAAACCCACTGTTATAGAATGGTCATCCCTGCAAAGTTATAAATACAAATTGCTGTGAAAAGTGGGTTAAGCGACTATGGAAAGAGTCTGAGGTTCAGAATGTTGGTTAAATGAAAGGTCAGAGAGCTTTTCCGAGACGGGGATATCGGTGGTGGTAGTTTTCTCTGATGATGCTTCACCGAGCCTTAATTTACATTCACATCAGTCAAACTGTGACGAGGTCAAAGCGAAGAGACACTGACAGGGTATTCGACGGTGACTCCAACTCTCCTTCTGCGCGTGTTCCATCTGGGGCTACACGACACGCTCTGAAAATGGTTCATGATATGTATGCAGCAACCCGAAAGCGCAGCGGGTACTTACGTGACGATCTGACTCCAGTAGCTGTGTTGGCTCGAACGACAAAGTACAAAGATGGAGGTGATACATGTGACCAGTTCCAAATGTCAGCTTAGTCAGCTTCTTATCACACTGCCAACAACAAAAAACAATTTTGCCTCCGTCTGGACCAAGGTTTGGATGTCACATTGGACACCTTCCTCATGAATTTTCTCAGTGCTTCAAGCTCGCACCAAAATAGTTCTCTAATGCATGAAGAGTGAGTCCTGAGCTGTAGCAGCAGGGCCTGATGGTTGTCCCAGCTGCCAGCACAATCTGACTAGTTGCCAGCTGGATTTGACACTCCAATGGCTGGCTGACTCTTTCTCATTTACAGGGTGGTCAATGATTTCAAGTCCCAAAACTTGAACCATCCGACACCAGTGATGCAACATCCATAGACTCTTATTATTGTTGCAAAGTTTCTTGGCATTTTCATTAGAACTGGAATGTGATATTCACTATTGGTTTCAGTTCTCCAAATATAATAAGATTTCAGGTGTATTAGAAGGATGTCTGAGTCCAATTCATCACTCGCAAAGTATGACTTCCACCATTTGTTACAACTACTCTGTTATGTTTCTTCAGCACAGATCCTGACAGCTAGTGGTGTATCCAACCCAATGTCTTGAACCACAAACATATCTCTGATCTCACTATGAAGCTGAACATGTTTGGATGGCCAATGGTCTGTGTAGTTGACACAATATCTATCTATTGATTTTTCTGGTGGACACAACTCTTGACCCCTATGAGCATTGTTGGCAGGTGATGAGCACTCTTTTATTCTGTCAGAATGCAAGAAAATGTTAGCATCCTCCAATGATCCAGTGAGTAGTTTATTCTACCCTCTTCTTTCCTCTTTCCTCTGTCAGAGATTATCCACTGAGTGATGCAACGATTGTTAATTGTGATCTATGAAAAGAGGAGGTCAACTCTGACTTTCACAGTACTCCCAGATGTCTGATAATTCTACCACAGAGAAGCTGGATAGAAGGATAAAGTTTTACTTTGTGGTATAAGAGAGGGCTGAAATGAGTCAGAGTAGCATCTGATATTGCAATAAACTTTAAAAGTTCTCACCCTCTTCCTCTTCACCACTGTTGTTGCCACAGCACCTGTAAACATCAAGACAAATGCTCAATGGTTCATGAATAGGCTTCCTCCTCTCATGCCAAAGGCTATATATAATTATGAGTGATATTTTATGTGAATGTGATTAAGTGACTGATGGGGGATGAGCAGTGAGTGTGACTATCCTTATGCTCATTCTGTCTAGTGTGCCATTCAACAAGCGATCTGGCATATCATACAGCTGACCATCTGGCATCCCATATAGCAAACAGTCTGGTATACTATACAGGCTAAGAAAATAGACATCAAAGTCAAATCAGGTAGACACTTCACAAATTTTGGTTTTTCAATTATCATTTGCCTTTATTTAGATACATTTCTTTGTGTGCAGATCCATTTTGACTGGACTCTGTAGATGTGATACATATATTCATTTTATCATGAACTTTTTATATCCTTTCAATCCATTGAAAGGAATTATTACTGCAAGAGGGGTTAGCACCTGTCTTATCTCTCTTCACTGCTGCAAGGCTGTAGCAACTCTATGTGACTTGGAGATGGTCGAACATTGGCTATTTCTATATTTTTTGCTGATTTGGTCATATCTCTATTGTTTTTATTCCAGAAACAGCAACAGCAACACCAGGCATATAACAGATTCTGTAGGCTTATTAGGATTGCTCACTTTCAGGTTGCAACTGTGGCACATACCTTTTGTGTGCCAAAGAGTAGAAAGATGGATATAGGCACTAGCACACTTGAGTGTTAATACTAGTATTCACTGAAATGAGAATTTGATGAACTCAAGGTTAAAGCCAAGTTCCACTCTACTGGTGATAAATCAGAGTCTATCACAAGACTGGTTATACTCATCCTGGTCAAGTACAAATTAGAGACATGACCACAGTGAACAATTTGACTTACACATTACCAATAGAGAGAAGAACTGTGAGTGCTGCCATGCATATAACCAAGGACACTGTAACTGTGGCATTAGCTACTGGAAGAAAGTGTCCAAGTCTGCTTGGTGATGCAAACTTTAATAATGATGAGAACTACAGGAATTCAGAGCCTTAAAAGTGTTGTCTAGATAGAGAATACTTACTAGAGAAAAGAAGAATGGAGGTGTCTGGTAACATGGTCATTATGGCACTTATGGTGTATCTATTAGATTATAAATATCAAATCAACTGTTGGAGAATATCCATACATTTCATCTTATCTTACTTTCCAATCACTCATTCTATTTACCTTATATATACTTACACCTTCTGTCATTTCCTGATCACCTATATAGTCCAGCCATTTCTATCTGTATGTCTTAGTTGCTTTACTCATGTTGTGCCTGACTGAGATACTCACATATATTTTTCTGTCAATAGGTTATGAGGCCTCATTGCCTATAACTACTCAGTCAAGAAGAATATGCAACAGAATTTTGATTCAACTTACCACTTAAATTTATACCATATTACCACTCTCACCACTTTACACTACACCTTTAAATGATGTCATCAATGTTAGAAGTTGCCATCCTCTCTGACACAAGTAGCCATTTCAACAGGAAGAACTATACCTCATAGAAACTCCAACTTACTGAGTTACTGAAGAGTGTTAGAAATGTATCAATCAAGTGAGTTTGAGTGCATGCACAGAGACTGACAGAGTGCATAGGCATCAATGGAGCTATTGGCAATGTTATCCTTGAGTCAGACTTAAGGAATTGAATGGACAGAACAGGGTTCCATCAGAGAAGTGAACAGAAGTATCCTTTGGAGTGGAATCCAACAGACAAGGTAGACGGGAGTTGAAGTGAGTATGAAGTGTAGATGGCTATCCAAGTTGATATTCAAACTGAGTAGTTACAATGATTATATATAGTTTTATATACTAATGGTAGCTAATTCTGAGTTGGAATCTGTTGGGTTCCAATGTCAATTATTTGCTACTGAGTTTGGGGTCTAGATATTACAATGTGAAATGCAGATGTAAAATAATAATGGTGAAAATAAAATTAATAGGTAATAGAGGGTGAGTGGAGTCCAGTGGATTTTGGTGATTGAATTCATAGTTAGTTGAGGTGGCATGGAGGCTGGTAGCATGCACATAACAGTACCCCTCTATTACATTCTTGCTCTCAAGAGCACAGATCTCAATGGCTGGTGGGGCCACATGGAAGATTGTTAGTAGCCATGGGAGTTTTGCAACTTGATTTGATACCACCACCATCACCTAACTTAAAACTATGTCATCACTCATACACTTCTAAGCCTTTGGTGAGAGAACCTATCTTTGATGGCTCTGAAGAGGCCAAGGAATTATTCCATCTGGAATGGCAAATCATAGAGGAAGAATACACAGAGGCTATAGAGAGCCATTTGAAATAGCAAGAAGAGCAGAAGTGGAAGAAAAAGGTCTGAGCAGACCATGTGGCCTGAGAGGCATGGAAAAGAGAGCAGAAGGAGAAATTGGAGAGGAAGAGAGAGAAGGTCTGATGGGCAGCAGAGAAGCAGATGAAAGAGGTGGAGAAGGCTGTGAAAGAGGCTGCTTGAAAGAAGGCTGTATAGAGAGAGGCTGCAGAGGCTGTGGTGAGAGCTGTAGCTGCATTAGAGATGCTGCAGAAGGAGTTGATAATAGAGAGCAGGCTGCAGATGATTCCTGCAGAGGCTGTTGATTTCAAGCTGCATCAAGTTTTGATAGCTCACTTTGGGCTTAGGCTTAGACTTCATTTCAAAAAGGTGACTGGTCATATGCTGCTAGAATCTGAGGGTAGGATAGACCAGGAGACTGAGAGGGATAATGAGTTGGAGGAGTCTGAGAGGACTCTGAAGAGGAGAAGGAGGGTGTAAGAGAAGAAGAGAAGAGTGGTGGATCTGGTGTTGAAAGGTGAGAAGCAGAAGTATAAGTCTCATAACATGGTAGGTGATAGTGAGATGGAGATGGTGGCTAGCCTTAAGAAGAGAGTGAAGTTGGAGGTGACAGGATCAGCAGAGGGTGAAGAGGAGTCAAGTGGTGAAAGTAAGTGTCTTCTT